TCTGATATATAAAGGCCTGGGTAAACAGGTCAGGCGGTCCTAGTACAGGCAAAAGAGAATTGGAAGCTTTGGTGCCAGGCATATAATTGTAGCTACAGTCACAGTGACTCAAGCTGAGATGAAAAGTCTAAAAGTACAAAGCGTCGAAAAGCCATATATCAGAGTGTGACAACCGCTAGGAAACCTCACGCTAACCAATATCATACCCGTGCATGCTAAAAGAAGTCTTAAATGGTGCGCCCAACATATCAACATTAATCGAAACTCCAGAGTAGAAAGATTCACTTTGTCATGCATTGTCCGGGGTGTAGCTAGTTTCCCCCAGCATGCTCTGGCCAGGAGCTACAGCTGGGGCCGGTGATTGTGCATTGGGTTGGGATGGGGATTGAGACGATGCCGCGGTAGGGTTCGCTGGCTGCTGAACTCTGTTCGCGCTCGCGGCTTGGAGCCTTTGATCGAGGGCTTTAAGTGCTAAAGCACGTCGTCGTTCCGCTTCCTCCCTTTTACCCATTGATCTGACGTCCGCCCGTCCGGTGGGGTTCAAGAGACTTGGAAGTCCAGCCTCTCCTCGTGCAATAGCTTGTTCATTCCCTGATGCAATATCCTCCGCCGAAAACGGGGTGCATACACGCATTGCCACTAAAACTGAATATAGTTTGTCTGAGATGAACGAGATTGGTGGTTGGATAACGTCGGGAAAGAAGCACGCAAAGGCAAAAGTTTCGCTGGCATCACCCCTGATCCCGAGAGCATTTGTGGAAGTGCCAGAAAGGTCGGGCTGGCGTTTGAAAAACCGAAGATACGTCCAGCTAATCAGGAATCCGAGCCAGCCTAAATTGAAAACAATATCCGTTCCCACAACCATTGCGCCCACGGCATTCAGTACAAGGAAGATTGCGGGGAAGTGTTTAACGCGCATTTTCACAATGCCCCGGAGGATCGTCACTGTGTGCTCTGGAACTAATTGTTTGAAGGCTACCAGGAAACCGGCTTGAATTGCAACACCGCCACATATCCCTTTCTGACTGTAGACCAGATTAGCATCAATTGAAATTTCGGACACCAGTACTTCAATCCAACTTACGCAATGCTGGGTTTTCCGATGAGAGCGGCTCCGATAATATAAAGAAACGCTATAGCTGTATTCGACAAAAGAGTAATAACCAGGAGAAATTTGCCAAACTCCGTAGAACCCCAGGCACGTTCCAGGTATTTCCCGCCATAAAGAGTCGTGGCTCCGCTGATAATCATCGTGAAGATGTTATCTTCAACAAAGGTAGCGCATAAGAGGGTCCAAGGGTTGAAGAGAAACCTGGCGGGTACAAGCGAGATATACGGGATAGATACGCTGAAGTCGAATTGTCGCGATCGGGCAACGCCATAGAGGAAGAAGAGGCAACACATTCCGGCCAGGACAGCCCTCGTAACGGGCGGAATGCTGATGCGAGGAGCCATAGTCTTTGGGTCAAGAGCTAAGTTTTGAAACGATAAAAGGAAAAGAAGCTTCACCCACCCCTATCGCCGCCCACACAAAAGGATGGTATTGCTCGAGCAATCCTTGAAGTTCATCTCATCGGGCTGTTTCGATTGTTTGCTCAGGAAGCTCAAGAGTCGGTTACCTAACACTTCTTGGCATTGGCTGGGCTCCAGATGGAAAGCACGTGACAAGGACGTGCTGGACAACGTTTCATACGGAGAAAGAAATCCAGGCTGGAAGACATGTCTTGAGTAAAAACACCCCGGGTGCCTACCGTATCACCAAGACTATGGATGTGCTACTTTCCTGAACCCGATCAAAAGGATGGTGCAACAGGCACACCAGAAGAGCGGCGCAGCGAAGACACCAACGCGGACCGGCGATCTGTCCAATGAGTGGGGTATTTCCCGACTGCATGCGCCACCCAGTGCGCCAAGACCTGCCAAGCCACATCTGGAATTCAGGACAAGCTTTGGTGGATTACCTAATCTTCCCATCTTGCTGTCGCTGCAACCCTCGGATGCGAAACACAGTTTGAGAAGAGATTATTCGATAGAGGCGAGCAGCCTGAGAAGTTGCGAATATCAGTGGTACTCTGTTGCTGGCGCAATCTTGCTGAAATAAGGACTGGACACCACAAGAAATCTGTCTCAGCAAACACCCGGGGCTCGATCCAAACACCGTTCCAAGATCCACCCTCAAGTGACGAACAGCTTCTCCCTCCCCTGTCATGCCAACAAGTTTGTTCTTTTTCCGATCTGTGTATTGTTGACCTTCTTTCATCGCAAGTGTTGTGTCTTCCTAATCATACCATTATACGGCATTGTGCGTTTCTTCGACCGAGATTGAGCGGCATCGGTTTGAATCGTGGGCCTTGACCGACCACTCCTTGACTAGGAATATCTATACCGATCTCCAGGTTTTATTTCCGGTTGCGCATGGTGCGGACTGAGTACCCTCAAGCTGTGGCGTCGACTTGAGCTCCCGCTGCCGTTTTGGAGACGTGACATGTGCAGGACGATACTACCTCGCAAACGTTGCTGCAACCTGCAGCAAATCCGTATGTAGCCATGGCTTCTGGCCCTCTCACTTCACACCATGTCAATTATTTAATTTGGAGGCAAGTCGCTCTTTCTATCTTGCAATAATGACTGGGCTAAACTAATCCCATGGGCTTAGGTATTTGCAAGAATCAGGTTCGTTAATGGATTTGTACCAGCATAGATTAGTTCAACCCAACTGATATGATGCTTAGGTCATGGGGAAGCAGCGGTAATGCTACAGCGTGGCTGGAACCATGATCCCCAGAAATTACCCTTTGCCCCGTACATCAAAACGCATGGGCTGGTCACTTTGATCCAGAAAGGGCTTCAATACTATGACCTTGAAAAGTCGGTGGACAAGGTAGCTGTCGAAAAGATTCCATACCATAGTTCATGAAGCACTGATACAAGATTGACAGAATGGGAACTCAGTCTCCCCTAACGTTTCATTCTTCGGTCCCGGCGACATTCAAACTGGCGCCTTTGAGACAGCTCAAGATTCCACCGAAACCAAGGAAACGACCATAGCCGGAAATGCAGAACCAATGTCTACTGCATCTGCCGGGACGACTCCTAGAATTGATGGTGAAATCAAAGCGCAAACTCCGACTGCAAGCGTCCCAACTGTAAATCCACGGGATGGCGAAGCCAGTGAGCTCGAGAAAGCTGCCACGAAAGCAGACGGCGTGGAAATGGAAGTTGACAGACCCGAGCAAATTGGTGAACCGTCTCTAACACCTCGCCCACCTTTCTCTCCCGCTACGGCTGTAGTCGACGCAGACGGGGACGTCGGCATGATCGAATCGCAGGAGCAAGAGCCTCAAACGCCGATTTTCACGCTAACGACAGGGCAAAGTGTTGGCGTGCAAGTATCTCCTATCAAAGCCGCTGATTTGGGTCCGGAAACCGCACTGATAGACGCACTGGGGGAGAGTCATGTCATGCGCACCGCTTGGCGACCAAATGATCCCCTTACTTTTGCTGCAGCTGGTGATACGTTTTGCGGACTATGGAAGTTGTCGGGACAGCGCCCCTCTACGCCCCCTACTCGCACGACGCTAGTGACCAGTTCATGCGTTACGGCCATGGACTGGGACTCAACTGGGGAAATGCTTGCTGTGGCCACCTACGATAATTTCTTTGGGACCATAACGATGTACGATGCGAGCGGAACTGCCGTAGATGTGCTCCCGGAATCCCCGCGGTTGGTTTCAGGCTTGCGATGGGCCGAGAAGGGTTCGCAGGTTGCCATTGTAGCGTGCGATGGCGAACGCTCCGAACTTTTCTTGTGGAGTCAGGAATCGCGGCCAGATTCTCTCATAAACCCAGAAATAATCGATAGGCCAATATACGACGTTGTGTGGTGTACAAGCTATCATATATTTGCATGTGGAGATGGTTTCATCTATCAGTGCAATGTTGGGGAGAACATCCAGGTATCTAAAACTTTTACATCTGGAGAAAAGATGGAACCCTGGACACTATTAAAAACGTTATCCACAAACGAGATGCCCATTGCTGTGGCTGCGTCGACTTCAACTGCGCATATTTGGATTCCTACTCACGACATCCACGTGGAAACTGCTCATCACGGAGATATTACCGGGCTCGAAATACGCCCGCGCCAGAAGTCTATTAAATCTTCGGTTACGACATCTTTCACAGTGGCTACATCTTCTATGGACGATACTGTTAAGCTCTGGAATGTGGATTTAAATTCGAAAGTCGTGCAGTGCCACTACCGGTTATTCCTTGGGGCCGCGTCTCCCGCCCTTGCACTTAGCTTTACCCCAGATGGGTATGCTATCGCTGCTGCCAGCTACACTAAACTCTCCATATGGTGTGCTGACCGAGGTGGTACACCTATGGCAACGTGGGATGCGGCATCTGAAAAACCGACAGATGAGGCCAATCAAGAGGGCCCTATGGAGCTTGACTTGTCAGATGAGTCAATGATGGATCGACCGTTATCATGGGATAGCGATGGCAAAAAGCTTGCTTTAGGATTTGGCAGAAAGGTACATTCGAATCTCCAATTTGTTCAGGTATATTGCAGGTTTACTAATTTGCGTTAGATGGCAATTATAAACCTTCAGCGGTGACAACCATCTCTTAATAATACCTTGGACGGATATGGGGTGCTCAGCCATTTGCTGCCTCTCTATCTACCCTTCATGTTCGCGGTATCGCTTGCGCTTCAGTCGAAGAGCCCTGAGTGAAACTCATCATGGCCTTCTTGAAGTTGATCTGGTGGAATACTGCATTATTCTTGTGGATCTTTTTGCATTACCATTGGGATAATAGGAGTTTTGTTGGAACCAGGAACAGGGCCGGGGGTGCTGGAGAACATGGCTAAGGCGTTGGGTGTGATTTCATGGTTCAATGGGGATGTCACTTTCCTTTCTACTACTTGGCCTGGCGGTATGGTAGTGATTGTCGGTAGACAGCTAGAGATGGTTTGCTCTTGTTATTGTACTGTAACTACATACTTGCTTTCCCTTCGGATACCATTTATCAACAAACAGCACGTTCCAATGCACTAAGCTCCTGGTTTCTTCAATCATTCTTTCCAGGCTCTCTTGAGTTACAAACCAGGATGAATCCTATGCAGAAATAAATTACGAATCTTCACCTGTTCGCTCTGATTCAACCTTTTCAATTATTACCTCTGTGGGCTATAAGATTAGGTTATTCAACCTTTCGTCTCATAACATGATCTGTGGGGTCGAATTTGGAGGAGAGTTTTGAGCGGAAGCAAAATCAGAGCAAAAAGCTGTGCTCTACAAAAGTAGTTATCGAGAGACTAGTTAGTGGTTACTCACAGGTACTTCAACTTCCTCTCACCAGTTATTGATCCTTAAGGGTACTTGTTCATTCCACAAATCCCATCCTGCATAGCCATAGCCAATTTAAATTGAAATATCAGTTATCCCTCGAGGCGTTAATCTGCCCTTGCCCCGCATCGCTCCATCAAGCAATGGCGCCGAGGGTAAAAACTCCCAACACTGAGCACTGTCGACTGCTCGATAAATGGTTCCCAGTCCACTGCTAATATGAATTGGGCTGAATAGGCGACTATCCAACCGCCGCTGGACACAGTGCGCGATGTCCTCTCCCAGTCAAAAGGTGCACCGCATGCGCCGAATATGGTCCCAGTCAGCGCTTCGATACCCGCCGACCTCCTCACTCCTACCCTGGCATATTTAAAGATTGCTGCAAAGTAGGCCTTTTCCGCGTTTTATTCCTTGGAAACTATTGGGAAGGTGTTGGGAAATATGTGTTTTCTACAGCAGCGCGTGCTAATCTGACGCACCCTGGTGTGAAAAGATCGGATCGCTCGTTTTTATATGAAAGTGCTGCGACTACAGAGACAATTGGGAGATATAGCTTTGTTGGGGCCGGTGTGTTTTCATTCGCATTTCGATTATGACGATTGTGGGATCCTAATGTTACTCTCACTTTAGATCCTAAGAAAGTTCTCACAACTGGACCTGGCCATGGACCGGCGTGCGATCCGTTACCACTCCTTGAAAAGGAGCTGTCCCAGTTCCGCGTTGCTACGATTCCCGGTGTACAACTTCCGCCAATGGCTGGGGGAGCTATTGGGTATGTTGGATATGACTGCGTGAGATATTTTGAGCCAAAAACTGCTCGGCCGATGAAGGATATCCTTGGTGTTCCCGAGTCGCTATTTATGTTGTGTGACACGATTATTGCTTTCGATCATTTCTTCCAGGTCGTCAAGGTCATTACGTATATGGCCGTCCCGGAGAGTGAAGAAGGACTCGAAGCAGCATATCAGACTGCTGGGAAAATCATCCAATCGACGATTAATATACTCTTGGATCCGAATGTGCCGCTGCCTCCACAACCTCCGATCAAACGAGATCAGGTCTATACGTCAAATATTGGGCAAGAAGGGTATGAGACCCATGTGAAACGGATGAAGGAACATATCGTAAACGGAGACATCTTTCAAGCTGTTCCGTCTCAACGACTTACTCGCCCAACCACTTTACATCCCTTTAACTTATACCGGCATCTACGCACCGTGAATCCATCTCCATATCTCTTTTATATCGATTGCGGCAACTTCCAGATTGTTGGTGCCAGCCCCGAGCTTCTCGTCAAAGATGAGGGGCGAAAAATTATTTCGCACCCTATTGCAGGCACCGTGAAGAGGGGGAAGACACCGGAAGAGGACGCAAAATTGGCAGCAGAACTTAGGGGAAGCTTGAAAGATCGTGCGGAGCATGTGATGTTGGTTGACTTGGCTAGAAACGACGTCAACCGAGTCTGTGACCCTGCCACAACCCAGGTTGACCGCCTTATGGTCGTCGAAAAATTCTCACATGTACAGCATCTCGTATCGCAGGTGTCGGGGATTTTACGCGAGGATAAAACCCGCTTTGATGCATTTCGTTCCATATTCCCTGCTGGTACCGTCAGCGGTGCCCCGAAGGTCAGGGCTATGGAGCTAATTGCAGAGATGGAGGGAGAAAAACGAAGTATATACGCCGGTGCCGTTGGTTACTTCGGCTATAATACTAGTGCCTTGAATGGACAACGGATAGTTGACGGCACGATGGATACTTGCATTGCTCTCCGGACGATGGTCTTGAAGGACAATGTTGCATACCTGCAAGCAGGAGGAGGGATCGTTTTCGACTCTGATCCGTATGATGAATACGTGGAAACATTGAATAAGCTGGGAGCGAATATTCAATGTATTAAAGGAGCGGAGGAGCGATATTTGGAGCTCGAGCAGGAAGTTGTGAGTAGCTCTTCCGCCTAGGGCTTCCCGCTACATTTCGAGATAAAGGTTGTTCCTCTAGCCGTAGTTCAGCACAATCAGCGTGGAACATGTTGGAACGATTCACCGGATGGTTCGCGGCTTAGAACTAAAGCTAGCAAAGATAGACTCGATCGGGCTTTACGGCAAGACGCGGTTCAATTGATTATAGAGCTTCAGAATGTTGAGCACTCTCACAGTTGAACCCTAAATGGATATCTGAAAAAGGTACGGAGTACGGAGTACGGAGTAGATTAGCAGTAAAACATGAGAGCCAGTGCCAAGAGGATGGTGCTTACTAAAGCAAATTACATAAGCCGCAGCTGGTCTCTCGCGCTATTACGACACCATCAGTCGGTCCAGCGTTACCCCAACTGGCTGCAACTACACTCCGCCACTTGCACACGACTGCCCGCACATTGCCGCTGAGGCTTCGAAGCTCCGAATCGTTGGAAGCTATTTGATGTTGGAAAGAGAGAGCGCAAACTCACAAATTCCAAAGTGATCATTTGTCTGCCCTCTCCGTTTTCCACCTCCTTTTGCCGTGTGCCGGCCCCTTTGTCCATCTCGAATCAAACCCATCTCCACCGCAAACATGTCGAAGGTTGTGAGGAGCGTGAAAAATGTTACAAAGGGATACTCATCGGTACAGGTTAAAGTGCGAAATGGTATGGTGGTCTCTATGAAATATCCTCGGATGGAAAGACTGATCTTGCCTCTATCAGCTACAAGTAATGATCCATGGGGCCCAACCGGCACCGAGATGAGCGAGATCGCGGCTCTCACATTCAACAAGTATGCAATTGATTTTAAGGGCCCCCTCGATTAATGCCTGCTTACATGATGATAGTCCTACCGACTTCCATGAGATTATGGATATGCTGGACAAACGGTTGAACGACAAGGGAAAAAACTGGCGTCACGTCCTTAAGTCGCTAAAGGTCTTGGATTACTGTCTCCACGAAGGCTCAGAGCTCGTCGTCACATGGGCAAGGAAAAACATTTATATCATTAAGACTCTGCGCGAATTCCAATACTTTGACGAAGACGGCCGTGATGTTGGCCAAAACGGTTAGTTGATTTCCTGCAACATGCCAGGCCGTATTGACTTATCATTACACCAGTTCGAGTCGCTGCGAAGGAACTTACCGCCTTACTACTTGACGAAGATCGTCTCCGGAGCGAACGATCGGATAGAAAACTCTGGAAATCTCGCGTTGGCGGCAATGAGGACGCCATGCAGGGCATTGCCGGAGGGAGCGACATGGGATATCGACCCCCCCGTAGACGCGAACGTCAACAGCGGAACGCCGAAGAAGAAGATCTTGAATATCGCCTTGCTATCGAAGCATCCAAACATGAAGCTGAAGAGGATAAGAAACGAAGAGAGAAAAAGTCGCGGTCGGATGAGGAGGACGACGAGCTTGCAAAAGCAATCAGGCTTAGCAAGGAGGAAGAGGAGCTCCGCAGACGTGAACTGGAAGAGAGCAATGCCGCTTCCCTCTTTGACGATACGACCACCCCAGCACAACCACAACCTACCGGATACAACCAGGGCTATCAGCAACAAGGGGCGGTGGATTGGTTCGGCAATCCTGTTGACGCGCAACAGCCAATGTCAACCGGCTTTTTAAACAACCAATACTCACAGCCTACTGGTTTCCAGTCGCAGCCAACGGGCTATGCCAATGGATTCCCCAATGGATTCCAAAATCAACCATCAGCATTTGACCAGTCCCAATTTACACAGCAGCAAACTGGCTTTCTGCAACCTCAGCCTACCCTTCAGCCTCAACACACGGCTTTCAGCAATAATAACCCCTATGGTAGTGATATCTGGGCCCAGCAACAGCAACAGCAACAGCCACCGCAGCAGCAGCAAAACGACTTCCTTCAACCTGGAAGCCACAATCCTTGGGCTCAGACCCAACAGCAGCCGGCGGACGCACTGAAACCCGCCCCTACCGGATCCAACAACCCTTTCGCATCCTCGTTCACTCGCGCTCAAGCACAACAACAGTCCCATCCGCAACAGACTGGGCCTCCATCCCTCAATACCCTTGCTGAACAAAGAACTGCTACGCAAGCTTCTTTCAATAATCCGATAATGAACTACCAAGCACAACAGCAATTCAATCCGCCTAGAGCAGAAGACCCGCAGCGTGCCCGCCTCAATGCTCTCCTTGCGACTGGCGAGGGGCAAGATACTTTCGGCAATGTTGGTGACCTTCGTATTCCCGCACAACACACAGCACCCGGGATGTTCATCAATTCGGCCGGATCGGGTCTGGAGACGCTTCGGGGAGCACAAACCGGCAACAATCCGTTCCTAACTCAGAGTTTCACCGGAGTTCCGCAGCAAACAGGATTTGTTGGGCAGCCAAACAATAATCCCTTTGGTGCCCGACAGCCCCAGCAGGGCGGTAGCTTGATTGATCTCTGAGTTGATCTTCGAGCTACATACATTTACACAAAGATTCAAGGTTTTTAAGTACGGTTTCGTTTCGTGGATATATTAGATTGTATCGGCGTTCTTGTCTGTTGAAGTGTTTCCGGAGCAGTGAGTAGTCGCATCAGATTGCCCAACCAAGATTCCCTCATTATCCGCCACTACTACGCAAACGCCAGACCAATCAGTTATGGCTGGGATTCTAGAGTCAGCTTAATGGGATTATTTCTTCTTGGCTATTTCGACTGCTCTGCTTTCCTTTGTCCAAGGCTATTCTCCTCTATGAGAGCCATTTATTGTATATTTGTTTTCTTTCACAGGACGGGCGTTTATCTCTGTCAATTCGCTTAACCTTCACCCATGGACGTTATATCTTTTATTTTCTGCTGGTTTGTTTTAGGCAGTATTCCCAGGTCCTTCACTCCGCGCTTTATTGTTTTTTGAATGGTGCATAGTTTGCTCTCTTGTGCTTATGGATACCTCTTCTTTTTCTTCCACTCTTTCAAGGGGCTTCAAAATTCGCTTTTAGAGAAATACGCATTTTATTCTTTTGCTGAGGATACGTAAGGGCACGCGCATCTGTGCTTGCTTTTGAATAATTTAGGCCTTACTGAATCTGATACCCGAATACTATTGGAATTTAGAGACAATGCCAGCCATGCTGCAAGGGCTTTTCCGTTGTTGGCTCTGTTCCACTACTCTCTATATTCTATGATTGCCAGAAACTGCTGCCATGAAACTCACAGTAAAGCTAGAATGGATTCCTATCGGCTGCATCATTTGAAAGCACAAATAGAATGTAACCATACGATATGAATGGCGAATAATGGAGCAATATTGCCAGCTCTCCCATCTTTGCGCCAGCAGCAGTGTATATAATCCAGCCTGCGATGGTTTGGTGGTTTGTGGTTTGATCACCACAGTGACCGAACCCTCATTGGGCGGTGAATGTTGACAGTTGACCCTAAAAAGCGTATGATAAACATCCGCTTGAATCCAACTCGGCTGCTTAAATTTTTCCGCCAGAGGAACCCGACTCGCTTTACATACGTCCTCCGAGTCTGTGTGTGGGAGCAACGGGTCTTGCTCTTGTAAAGGAACTCCCCGTATCCGGTTGCTTTTGTCCCTCCCCTGCATCTCCCCTCGATTCATTGAGTGAACCCGCGCCTAAACTCTTGAGCCCAACTCTTTGGCCGTTTGCAATCCAGCTTCTTCCTTTGTTGATGGGACTGCTTTAATACATTATTCTATTTTTATGCAGGTACGCTTGCTCTTTCCTTGCAACTTCCCTGATCCCAATGCGACGCGAAGCGAATGGGCGCTCGCGACCAGGTGGAATTGACAACTGACAAACTCGCGTCGCAGGCCGATTGTCGGAATTAATCGCTGTCTAGACTATGGCTGAGCAGACTGAGGATTTCTCCTCGTTACCCTTACCGGACCGGTTTGCTCATAAGGTCGGATCTCTCTCTACCCCTCGCGTTCGCCGTGGTGGAAATCCGTTTGACTGACGAGCCATGCTGCGAATAGAACTGGAAAGTGAGAAAGGAGGGCTACGAAGAAGCCACCAAGCAGTTCCAAAAGTCTCCAGATGAATCCGACCCGGTGTTTCGACCGTTCTTGCAAGATCCCGGCCTGTGGAAGGGGGCTGTCGCGGATTCGAACGTTGCCGCCCAACAGGAAGGTCTCGTGGCATATTGTGCCTTTCTAAAATACGCTGGCTTGCAAGCATGCTCAAGGTGCGTTTATTTTTATTTACACAACCCGAATGTATTGAGTGGGATGCTGATGGGTGGATTCAATGTCAGGACACGAAGCATAACCGCTGTTCCTATAGTAGAGAAGGGACTTCCTTCCACACGACCTGCCGCGAAGACAAACGCACTGGAAGCGTTACTGCTGTTTATTGAACTGGACAAACCAGACCTAGTGATCGAAGACATCACTGGGACCCTGTCCCACAAGCAACCCAAGGTTATTGCGGCTGCCTTATCTGCCCTCACGGCAATCTACCATAACTACGGCTGCAAAGTTGTCGACGCTAAGCCAGTGCTAAAGTCACTGCCCAAAGTTTTCGGTCATGCGGATAAGAATGTTAGAGCCGAAGCCCAAAATTTAACGGTGGAGCTCTACAGATGGCTGAAAGAGGCAATGAAACCTCTGTTTTGGGGTGATCTGAAGCCGGTGCAGCAGCAAGACCTGGAAAAATTGTTTGAGACTGTGAAGCAAGAACCGGCACCAAAGCAAGAAAGATTTACACGAGCTCAACAGGAAGCCATGGCGGCCGCGAGTGCCCAACCCGACGAGCCTGGAGAGGGCGCCGATGCTGAAGAGGACGTCGCCGAGGGAGAGATTGATGCTTTTGATCTTGCAGAGCCCGTTGATATCATGGCAAAAGTACCCGCTAATTTTCATGAAAATGTAGCATCATCAAAGTGGAAAGATCGTAAGGATGCTATAGACGCTCTTTATGCAGTTGCCAACGTTCCACGAATCAAAGAAGCGCCGTTTGATGAAATTATGCGAGTACTAGCGAAATGCATGAAAGATGCCAATATTATGGTCGTTACGGTGGCAGCAAACACAATTGACGTTCTCGCCAAAGGCCTACGCAAGGGATTCGGGAAATATCGACCAGTGATAATGGCACCTATTATGGAGCGTCTAAAAGAAAAGAAGCAGACTGTTGCAGATGCTCTTGGGCAGGCACTAGACTCCGTATTCGCGTCGACGGACCTCTCCGATTGTTTGGAGGACATTCTGGAGTTTTTGAAGCACAAGAACCCTCAGGTAAAGCAAGAGACGCTGAAATTTTTAATACGCTGCCTCCGCAACACTAGAGATGTTCCCTCCAAAGCAGAGACAAAATCAATAGCTGAAGCCGCTACTAAGCTGCTCACAGAATCTAGCGAAGTAACCCGTTCCGGTGGTGCTGAGATCCTGGGCACTTTGATGAAGATTATGGGAGAACGAGCTATGAACCCCTACCTCGACGGACTCGACGATATCAGAAAGACTAAGATCAAAGAATTCTTCGACACGGCACAAGTAAAGGCTAAGGATAGGCCAAAGCCCATAATTGGCCCCCCAAAGACTGCACCTGGTCCTGCACCCAAGCGTACGGTTGTCAAGAAGCCAGGTGCAGGTCTCAAAAAGCCTGCTCCCGTTTCAACGGAGCCACCAGCTGAAGAAGCTCGCGCGGCTATTTTATCACCCACCCGAGCGAAACCAGCAACCAAAGGAATTCCTTCGAAGCTCGGAGGTATACCCAAGTCTAGCGGCCTTGCGACTCCTGGCGCTGGCCTCAAACTTCAAAGAAAACTTGGGGGTCCAGGTGGAGCAGTTCCTCAGCTATCATCGCCTCAACGTCGCACAATATCTCCGCCAGTGGAAGAGCCTACGCCGGCAGCCCAACCCGCTCCTAGCCAACCCAAGTTTGGAATCGGACGAGGTCTTGCAGGTCGACCGATTGCGAAACCTACTGCCCCTGAATCTGCCCCTCCATCCAATCCTGCGTCCAATCAAGGGCCCCCCGGCTTGTCTGTGATCGAGCGCGCAGAGTTGGAAGAACTTCGATTAGAGAAGGAAAGGTTATCAAAATTGACAGAAGATCTGCGCTCAGAACGTGCGAAGCTCAACTCGGAAATCAACGAATTGCAGAATCAAAATGCACAATTAATAGAAGACCATACCAGAGATGTTTTGAGCATAAAAGCTAAAGAGACTCAACTCGTGCGCGCAAGGAGTGACGCTGAAGCAGCTGAACAAACAGTCCAGAAACAGCAACGAGAGATAGATCGCTTGAAACGGGAATTAACAAGGGCGATGCGAGCGAATGCGGCGAGCCCACCAGAGCCATATACGGATCATTTTGGCCTAAATATGGGAATTAACGAAGCCAATGCTGGGATATATCAGGACGACAACCGCAGATCAAGCATACATATGGCGCCTAGGTTTGATGGTGCCCGACCAAGAAGTTACATTTCATCTAGCCCGAGCGAGGAAAAGGAAAACAATGGTTTGACATCACCTGGTCTGACCTCAAGATTCGCGAGTCAGCGGAAATTTAGCCCTCCTGTGGGATCGACATATTCTTCAGGAAGAGGCAGTCCCGCCCGAACCTCGACAAGGGCTGGTGCGACAGGCGCCGACGGGATAACGTCACAGGGTGAACCGGCTGAGAATTGGAGGAGAGCGGCCGAAGTTACGAGTCAGTTGAAAGCTAGAATAGAGCAGATGAAGGTGAGTCGATATTTCCGGCCCTTGAGCTCCACGGGAGTACTATAATGGTTAAACTGACTGGTCGGCCGTCTTACCAGGCAAGACAAGGCTTGTCACGACCGCCTCCGTCACATTGAAATTATAAGTTGTTAATCAGTAATGTTTACTTTTGTTATGTTCTGATATGAAATTCGTGGTATCACAGTTATCCTTTTTAGTATTACCCAATACCCCTTTTCTCCCTGTGTTTGGAATGCTTGATTATGGCGTCGGCATGTTAAAAAGAGGGTCCTGGGACTGGGTCCGGTGGGAATGTTGTTGGGTCTCATGATTTTCGCAACCCTTCTAGCTTAAGGTCTAATGGACAGGGCTTTTCGCCATATATCTCTCCCTTTAACGATTCGATATTTTATTTTGGCCCGGGTCAGACAAAGTACAAGCAACTTCTTTCAGACGTCGTGGATCCGCCCACCATAGCCTAAGCCTTTTATGGACCCAATTCATTCAATGGCATGAGAAATGTTGTCATATTTGTTTGACTTGAATCCATAAGAAGACCTCCTTGCGCCCGGGTATATGCATATCAAACAGGAAAGAAAGCTCATTAACATAGACCCATACGCATAGTCTTTCGATTCTCGATATTACTACATGCATTGTGGGATGTCAGGTTAACATTATTCGTGTGCCCTCAAGTAATCCACGCAATTTTTCGTCAATGTACAACGCCGACTTGAACTCCGTGAACCCATTTCAACTGAGGCAAAGAACTCAGACACAATGGTTTAGATCTTGACAGCAGTCTCGATGGCTCTGCGCTTCTTCTCTTGACGGGCTTGAGCCTTGGCACCCATAATACCACCGCCCCAGTGACGCTTGGATTCTTCGTACTTGTCGCTGTAACCTTCCTTGATGGCAGAGACAAGTTTGGCGAATTCGCTCTTGTCTTCGGCACGGGTTTCAGTGAGAGCAAGGACAGCAGCAGTCTAATGATATTATATTAGCACGTAGTATTAAATTGGGCCAAAAGAACAGATGTTACCTTCTTGTGGACGACAGTTCCGAGTCTAGCCTTGCCCTTGACAATAGCATACGGAACACCCATCTTGCGGCACAAGGCAGGAAGGAAAACAACAAGCTCAATTGGATCAACATCATGGGCGATGAGGACCATGGAGGCTTTCTTGTTTTCAATCAAGCCAACAACGTGGTTGAGACCGTATTTCACGGCGTATGGCTTCTTGCTAACGTCCTCCTTCTTCTGACCAGCTTCGATGGCGGTGGCCTCCTTGTGAAGACGCTCTTTCTTCTCGGCCTTGGATTCTGGTCGATACTTGTTAAGGAGTTTGAATGCCTGGGCGGCGGTGTTGCGGTCGAGAGTGTTCTGGAATTGGGCAATCGCCGGGGGAACCTTCAAACGGAGGTTGAGGATCTTCTTCTGACGTTGAAGACGAACATACTCGGGCCACTTGACCATACGGGAGAGGTTGCGAGTGGGCTGGATGTCCTGGCCAATGCCGAAATTGCGAGAGCGCTTCTCGATCAAAGGGTTCTAAACGATGTTAGCGCTTGCATCGGCGAGATGTATATCGAGATGTCACAAACCTTAGGGCCCTTCTTGCCAGCACCAGCCTTCCCCTGGGGGAAGGGGGCGGGAGCGACTTTCTTTCCACTCTTTGGGGGCTGTCATTGAGAAAAGAAGATCTGTCAGCGAATCGTGTTCACCAAGGACTGCATCTTCTATTTCTCTAAAGAGACGATGGCTATGTGTTTCCACAAATCACCATCACTCAAGCCATATCATCACCAAGACAATTAATTCTGAAATCAGAACATTGAGCTTGATGGAATTGATTTAGCCGGGTGGCTTTTCAACCAGACCCAGGCTCGAGAAGATATCAAGAGATCATGCTGGATAATGATATTCTTACCATTTTGTTCGATGTTGGCGCTGCGTCGTTGACTGCTGAAGAAGACGAGGAAAGGAAGAAGGAATCTCAAGAGTGTGAAGTGCGAGATATTTCTCGGTTGTGCCTTAGCGCCAAATCATAAGCGAGTCTTGGCACTGTCCATCAACCCGAACTTTCAAGGGTCTAGGCCGGATGACTAAATCGGAGTCGGCGAAACATTAGAGCGAGATATGCGGAATCCTGCCCAGTGACAGAACGGCATGGTAACAATTGAGGATGAGACGGAGCAGATTACAGGCTGCTGGAGTAGATTGATCGTTGTGAAAAATTGCCTCTACACAAGGCATAGTTACGATTCATAGAATATGCTTCAAGTAGCGGGTGCGAATCCCAGTCATATAACTAATGCGCTAGATATGTCGCCAACATGCAATGAGTGCAAGTTCTAACCCTTCGATAGAAATCTATAAGAAAAAAGATGAACCGCTTATCTCCAAGGAACCCCCAAACCTGCAATCCCAGAGCGTCCGAGGCCTGAACTTGCCGCCTCGACTGCTCTCCTTCGCCCCTTAAACCCTTCTTGGCTCTTAACCCCCTGCACAATCCGATCGAGATTTGTTTCGATAACCACACCACCAGTAATCATTTCCCCTAATACCGCATGCATCGTCTCAAATCCAAAAATCAGGTCCAGCTCACAAACGTTCTCAAACAGACGGTCTAAGGCTTCCACAAAGACCTGAATCAAATCGATCAGGGCAAGCGGCGATTCTGTTGACGTTGAAATAAGGATAAAGGAAAGTGTAGCGTATGTTCGATATGTTATTTGAGTTGGAGCGTCTGAATGTCCTGACGTCGCATCCTCGCTGACACCTTGCGATAACAACGGTGGTAAAGGTAAGAAATTACATGCTGAGGACGGTCGTTGCGAAACAAGGCTATAGATTTGTGATATCAGGCGCTGCTGCGTTTGTGTATCCTAGCAACGGAAAAAAGGTTAACTAATGCGTTAAGAAGCATGGGCTATACTTGCACTGGCTTACCAATTGGGTGTAGAATTTAGTAAGGCGGGGTTGCCCGCTGTTGTTGAACACAAGGACTGCGTTTATCATGGTTATAAAGTAGTAACCAGCTAGTCAATTTGAGTTGTATAGCTTTTTGCGATGCTTATGGGAAATATTCAGTAACATGAGGCACCTGTCGAGATACTCTTGGAGATGTTGCAGGAGGTGATGTAGGCGGAGCCCAGTTGATAGGCTTATCAGCCAGAGCTTGTTTGACGTGTTTGCACCGGATATTTAGCATTCCATCGACGAGCTTTCAATCATGAGAGTAATGAGCATTACCCCCTTGCTCACTTACTGGGTACATTCTTTGTCTCTTTTTTGTTTTAATAGACCTAGCCTTATTCGATGAGATCTCCTTTTTCTCGTGCTCTCCGCCGCCCGCACAACTGCCTTTTTATCCGATTATTGCCTCGACATTATGCGACTGAAACGCCAGTGAACCCCGGCAAGCCCGCCATCCAGAGTGGGCAAACCTCTTCGCCGGTTAAAGAGCGAGATACAGAATTCAGTCTTCCAGAAGGATTTACCGAAGAAAACCCGTGCCTTTACCACGACACGCTCCCCCCTCAACCTTCCCAACTCGCATACGCGAAGCACTTTTTTACGCGCTCGAAACACTCTCCCGTTTATCTTTGGGGGACAGACATATTCCGCACCATCCCTGAAGCCGCAATACCAGAAGTTGTATTCATTGGCCGGTCCAATGTGGGCAAAAGTTCAATCATTAATGCGCTAGTCGGGGAGGATATTTGCGCGTCATCTAAGAAACTCGGAAGGACAAAACTGATATCTGCGATTGGTCTCGGTGGGACGAAAAATGAAGATTCGAGGATAGCTCTTGTTGATACTCCTGGATATGGGAAAGGTAGCCAGGCGGAGTGGGGCCAGGAGATTCAAAAGTATTTGGAAAAGAGAAAACAGTATGTTTGCATCTAGGAGAATCTTTTTGTTTTTGGCGACACTTTGCTGATACTTTTCCCCCTTCTAGACTTCGGCGCATCTTTCTTCTCCTTGACGGGAAAGTCGGCCTCAAGCCCCGGGACCACGACGTTCTCGCTTTTCTCCGCCAATTCGCTGTGCCGTACCAACTCGTGCTCACGAAATCGGATCATACGCTTGGAATAGATAATCGCAAAAAAGGATGCGAGCCCAAAGCCTCTCAATCCGGCCTATTTCGCTTATCCCAGACTGCACAAAATATTCTTTCAGCTGCCCGACCTTTAAATCCAAGCATGGAGGGCCCAGGGCCTTTAGGTGATGTGATCGCATGCAGCGTCCAAATGGAAAGAAAAAAGCGTAGAAGAATAACGACAGGCATAAACGCTCTTCAGTGGGCGATACTTCTTGCAACTGGATTTGATCAAATTCCGAGAGGATTTAAGAATAAGTCCTAGGTATCGACCCCTGACCCCTCGACGGCACTGTAGCCATGTAACATAGTAATCATCGGACTTTGCTAGATAACAGTGAGCCCCATGGGCGGCATGCTGCGGCTAGAGGTTGGAACCCCCAAAGGAAGACGGCTCGCGCCTACCATTCCGACTGAATCCCATTTCAAGCCCATAGAGAAAACAGGGCTTTTTTATATAGGAAAAGCGAACTTGGGTACGCACATTGAGGATGTAGGCCAGCCATACACTATAAGAGAGAGAATCCAATAATAAATGTGATTATCATGATATTTCCTCTATCAGTTCTTCCTCCAAAAACATCACCAAGGAGACCATTTGAAACGGCAAATTAGCAAACCCAGAGTCTGACGCTAACAACAAAGTATGTAGAGTAGTGGTGTACAAGGACTCCTAAACCCTTGTACTCCCGAACGATAAAATGTCATGCAAACAAAAATAAAATGCCCATAAAAAAAAGAAATGATTTTTAACATATCAAATGCTGTGCACCTGTGACCGGCCATCGGAATTAAACACGAGATTCATCACCCATAACTCATACACAACGCCTAGATTTTATCACCATTTGAATGCATCAAGTCATCAGGTCCTCAACTCCACCCTGTCCGCCTCGAAGGGATTGATTCAGCAAGTGCATAGGACAGTCTTGGTATTATGCATGTCCAGCATCTAAAGCATGCATTGTCACCGAATTCATTCGCTATTCGTAGGGGTGCTTGTTCCACAAAGAAAAAATCATGTGCGGGTATCATAGATGTTTAAAGATCAGAAGAACTGAGGTCTTAATCCCAATGAGTTTTCAAACAATGAAGTAGCGAAGTAAAGCAGGCTTTTGAAGCGAAAATAATCTGATTCGAGGTCGTATGGTTTACTCGTTCCCGTCACCGGCCCGTTCGTTGGCTTCCGGTATTTCTTTGCCGTGGCTATCTACCACGATTCTCCGGCCCAACCGATCTGCTGGAACCCGATCACGCGACGCACCAAAGTCAAGCACCTAAAAGCAAAGGTCAATTCTGATCCCTATCAACGACACCCGGGATGGCTTACCTCAATATATGTGCGTCCGTTTCTTTGAACGGCGGCAACACATCTTCGTTCGTTGAAGCGGACTTGCCACACACAGCTCAAATCAGTGAGTAAATCTTTGAAACATTCCCCCGTTTTGATATTCCACATCTTTAATGTGCGATCAGAGCCGGATATAATTTTCTGCTCATCATGCTCAAAACAAGTAATTGCACCAGTATGTGCAGTTAGGATGTTTTTACAGTGTCCCGTTTCCGGGTCCCAAATCCTGAGCGTGGAATCAGCGGCTGCCGATACAAGCTTGTCTGCTTGAAGGTCGAGAAGGCCAACTAGTAATGCATGACCTTCAAGGTTATATAGAAGGGATCCAGTTTCAAGTGACCAAATCTTCACGAAATGGTCCATTGAACCACTGATGCAGCGGTTCCTTTGATGGTCCAGAACGACACTATAAACTTTAAGGCTGTGTCCCTCCAATCGATGGACAACTTCACCCGTGGATATCTTCCACACTCTTACGGTGCAATCGTAACTGCCGCTCACGAGTGTATCACCATGGGCTGCAATCGCGCGAACGGAGTGAGTGTGCCCATTTAATGCCCGAATAAAGTAGGGACAATTATCATCTTCCGGTCCGGCCTGAAAATATTTCGGGTCACCAGGCTGCGGGAGTCTCCAAACACGTAGACTTGAGTCTCTCGAGCCCGTAATAATCAGAGGCTCCTTTGGCATTGTTTCTATAGTTCCGTCCGGCTTTCTACCAATCTCGGTTGGTAATAGAATTTTCAAACATCGGACTGTTGACGTATGTCCTTGAAAGGTTTGGGTACATTCTGCCTTCTCAATGTCCCACACGCGGACCGACCGGTCTGTAGAACCTGAGACAAGGGTGTTGCCATGATATTCAAGGGCCCAAACGCCGCCCTCATGCCCTTCAAGGGTTGATTTGATGGCGCCAGTCTTAGTGTCATAAACATGGATGTTGGTGTCGTCACTCCCGGTTAGGATTTTATCAGTATCGAATTGGAGGCAAGTAACAACATGACGATCATGCGCACGGAAGGCGATGTGCAATGGCTTAGCGTTCCGATCCATCCACATCTTGCGTATCGAGTGATGTCTTTGGTAAAGCGACTTGTAAAGGTGCAAACTTCGAAGTGAAGGTAAACCAATCTCTGGATAAGGAAGAGCAAGGGCTGCCGCATTAGCTGCCGCGTATGGCCCTTCAGCTATTTTCAAATTATGTATCCAATTAGCAATTTCGTGCTGTTCAGGAGAGTCGTCCTTTAGCAACTGTTTCTTCGCTGAGCCCCTGCCAGGGGGAATGGACACAGCTTTCCTCTTTAGTTTTCGTGAACCGCCCGATATAGCATCGTTCAAAGTGGGAGTCTCGCGGGAGTGGGAGGTTTGGGGCAACGATTCGCTGTCAGAGGCTGAACACAAACGTAAATCCTGTTCAAAATCACCTGAGTACTGCCAGGCCCAACCCTCTTCGATCGCCTGTTGAAGTTCCGCTTCAGGGAGATTGAAGCCAGCGGCATCAAAATGAGCTTTCCAGGTCTTTTCGTCAGAATTTATAATATGCCTCCATTTCTTCGAGACTTGAGATGCCCTGCACATCGACTGCACATCAAGGAATTTGACGATATTGAGGCTGAGTTCAAAAGGAAGCAGCGCCAAGAAATCACACTTTAGTGCGGGATTGACGACGTCAGCTACCACATGTAGTGTCTGTTTTGGGCACCGTTTCAACAGCTGATACATGACGTATGATTTGAGCTCATCAGGTATCGATTCAAAGTAACTCAGCATTACGGGCATATCCATGAGCGACAGTGAGGACGACGCATAGTCGATGACATTCCTGGCTTCCCCTTCACGCGAATTGCTCTTCCTGGCAACATCGTACAACGAAATGGTTTCATTCTGGACGAGATCATTGTTTGAATCCGTATCGGTTGTCTGATCTTCTGTTGAATCGAATGATACTTCTTGTTGCGAGGCATTAGCTGCAGCGATAGGTGACAGCCTAGGACTAGGCAGAGGCAAATTTTCAGCGCTGTTTCCGTCAACGGCCACCAATCTTGAGACCAGTGGACGCAGGCGACGGGCCGGCCTTGGACCAATATCAGAACTCGACGATAGTGACGACATCAACGTATCTGAAGGCAATCCCGAGCGGCGCTCGAGTAACGGCGACGTTTGCTCGCCATCGTCAAGGCTTCCACGGCGGTTTTCGCCACTTATACATGGACTCTCATATTGGCGTTCGACGAATAATCCTAACTTAGATGCCTTCTTTGGTTGATTCATTTCGCTGTCAAGGACAAAATTGGCACTTTCCGTTTCTGGTGTCGCCAATCCGACGTCAGGAAAGTGCCAAGGATGTTTGGTGGCACTCGAACAAGTTCGTCGAGGGTGTCGGGAGGTAGAGGGTTCAGGCACAAATGAGCGGGAAGGGTTGGGATCTTGTGAAGACTCTGCAGTTGGCACGGGAGAGACCCGACGTCGTTTTGTATTCAAATTATTGAGCGAGCGATGACCATGTCTAGGAAGCCGGCTGTAGATTGAATCGGAACGTGGTAAAGGATTCGCTATAGCGACTGACCTAATGACCCCATCTGAAGCGCTGAGAGCCTCCTGTTGCTGGCCAAGCTTCGATTCACGTCAGCATGATTTGGCCAAATTTTGCCTCCATAGGGGTTTCCATTTATAGCATATTCCTACCTCAGTTAAAGTACTAGCTGCATGGTCAGACTCATGGAAAACAATCGACTGTCCATTGAGATTGAATTTGATATCTCTTAGCGAGAGAGGAGTCTCTGAGCTGGCGAGAGGATAATGCTTTGGGTCAAGGCCGTCCAGGGGTCGAGGTGCCTTCATTACCAAGGGTGGAAAGCTAGTTGTAGTCGTCGTGGTTGTTGTCACGATTGTAGTTTGCGTTGCGGGGGCGAAGGAGAACTGGCCGACGGTGGGTTCGGAGCGCGAATCATCCTCCGAGGTTTCATTGCAGCTGGCACGATCAAAACTGGATGAATTAACCTGGTATTCAGACCGCTCAGGAGTTTTCATTGTATGTCGGGCCGCGTCATTGGAAGCCATTTGAACGAATCTTTCTATTGAAACCGAGCAACGAGGTGCAGAGATTCGCCGTGAGGTGGTCACAGTTTGGTTGGATCGGAGGCAGGATAAGGGGTTCCAAGGTAAATGATGCTCGAGAGAGAGTTGCCAAAACTTTTCAGGTCTGAACGGTTGTTTTTAATGGTCGGGTAGAGCTATAGAGCAGCGAGGGGGTCAGCAAGCTGAAGGGAGGTAAGAGGTTTCAACGGAAGCGAGTCAGTTGCTAACGCCCGCCACAGAGAGTCTCAACTCCCGAAGCCCAGCAATGTGATAACGAGCATATCGAGGTATTGTAGTCTAGGCAAGATAAAAGGAGACGGGTGAAGAAGTGTTGTTAGATAGGCTTGGAGGGAGATGGATGAGGAAGTCAGCGGGGACGAGTTCCGGAGGTCAAGATGGGGATGACAGCAAGGTTAGAGGCGAAAGCGGCGCGGAAAGCGTGGCGGTTGCTCAGGCCGTAATTTACAAGACAGCGTGATTACAGTCTGTTGAGCCATTTTCGTGTGGGCTCGAGCTCATTGGGCATCGAGTATTACTGTAAGTTACACCAGCCAACCTGCGTGTAAATTGGAGAGAAGATGACCCTTTCTGTTCATTGCTGCAGCTTGAAGGATCATTCATCAAAGCTTGAACATGAAGCCCATGAGAGTGCTCTGTATGTATTTTCAATAGGTCTATGCTTTTACCCTCATGCCATATTATGTTCCTCTCCTTTTTCTCCCTGAGACGTGTCAAATTCCAGATGATATAACATGAGACGCAACCTGTCGAACCCCTACTTGTTATTTCTTTACTAGATAAACGCAAAAACCTCTGCGATTCTATTTGCAAATTTCCTCTAGACCAAATTTGAAGCCATTGAAACAATCTTTTATACTGAAGAGATGGCTCTATCATCCAGCCAAAGCCGAGTGCGCTGCAGGCATCAATCCGTGTGACTGAAACGAAGAGCACAACAATTGCTCAGATTGATACCAGCCAGGCAAGGCCCAGAAAAGGCTGCTCCCTTCTGCCACCTGTGATATTATTCTATGTGATAATATCCCATGAAAATCAAGAGTTCAAGCAATAACTGTACCAAATCCATGTCAGATGAATGCATGAACAGTGTTTGTCATTTCCATGCATGCATACACACTATGAACTATTACTCTATGAGAAGGCTGCTAGGATATTTGATGCCCTCTGCTGAAGTAGAAGATACCACAATACAAGTTACGCAATGTGACAACCGTACTGTCGTCTCAATTCAGCGTTCACATGACTGAGCCGGGACCGTCCACTTTCAAAGAACCTCCAATCTGTCCCTCAAGCAAGCAATTTTCAAGCTTCCATCGAGCCTTGGTTTTTGTGAAGCTACGATGGCGCGGACCATTCAGTCAGGTCCGAAAGGGAAGGCTGTTGGTGCAATGGTGGTTGCTCCTCGCCTGGGTAAAACAGGCGCGGTGACCTCCGTTCAAAAGCAAAAGGTGGAACGAGTTGGGGTATCTCAAAATGTCGAGACCGTGCAGAATAACGTGAAGGTGAGGCAAGAGTCGGCAGTGCAGCTTAAACAGAGTCAGGAACTGGTTCAGATCATGCTCAATGCATCGGTTAGTAGGCCTTCCTTTCGCTTACCCTTTTCTTCAACTCTCGTCTAATGGTGGTGACGTACAGATCGGATCTCTATTTTACCTGAGGTGGGATCGATCTAATGGGCCTGCTGAATTTCGACTGATTTCTATCCATAGGGGATTCCTTCCATTGACGTGCTTCGACACGCGGTACTTGGAGACCAAGTCAAACGCGAGCATTTCCTATAAGGATTTTATCGAACAGGACTCTAACTCAAAAGTATCCACTAAAAGCCAGCCGTTGAGAATTCTACTAAGGAACCGTGGTCCCACCGCCGATGCCATCCTGGATCTCCTGGTGAGTTTTCAAACAGGGGCTTTGGCACCTGTGGCTAACGGATGTAGGAACATGGAGTATTCGATGCCATTGATAAATGCGTTTTAGAAGCTGTGCAGCTTACCATTAGCCGTGAAAGAGACAATCCTCTGCACATCCTCGAAAGCTACACATTCTCTTTTGCTTATAGGCTTAACGACAAGGATAAGACTGGGAATCTAGCGAGCGTGTCGCTTGATAACGGCGAATGCATCATGGAAATGGGGACTTTCCGAACTGCGAAGATGGGACTAGAAATGATCATCCGACGGCTAATAACGCTCAGTATGATCCTTCCCAACTTACCGTGTATGGGACTCGAAAAAACTGTCTATTACTCTTTCAGTGCTGTTAACGAATGATGTAGCCAAGAGATTTCTTCATGTCCACTTGATGTACACCGAAGATTGCCCGCCTACCTATGAACCACCGGGATTTAAGAGCACCGCCGTTGAAGAAATTTCCTTTCCCCGGATAGAGAACTGGACAAAGGAAACACAGTCTTGCGGTGTCATGCATGGGCCTCACCACAGGTGGAATATCAAGTCAATCTTTGTCTTTACAACAACTAACGAATATTTAGTGTTAGCTTGAAAGTCACTTCCCTCCAGTGGTCTGGGGTTGGCGATGATCAGATTCCCGACAGTCTCGAGTACTCAGATGGGACCTCGCGAGAGTGTGACATTGGGATTGACCAACCTGCTGAGGCCCAGGCTGAAACGCCAGGATCCCCACGAGATTGTGAGTGTATGTCATTCGTCGCTTCCGGCTATAACTGATAAATTTTCCCTTAGACCCAGAAGAATTGCCGCATGAGTCAACTCAAATCCGTAAAGATGTGGCAGACCGAAGATTTCTTCAACAAATGGTAAGCGCGAAGGGAAACAGCGCCCGTACTTGACAAGTATTGGATACTAACCCAAACCGTACAGCTCGAACCCTCCAGTGTTGACACCAGCATGGATCCTACACAAAAGGTTTTCTATTCAGACGCAGGCGCTGTTCTCAAACCCCAGCTTTCTCAGAACAAGGCCACTGAAATCGCTAGAGAGAGAAACCAATCACCACGAGCACATCTGTTGCAGCCTACAAATAGCGACGCTGTGCCCGTTCGTTGCCAATGTGGCTGGAATCGAGAGGAAGGAGATATGGTTAGTTCTGTCTAGTCAAACCATGGTTTTCCACAATTGACCATTGTTTGCAGTTCCATTGCCGTTTTTGCGACACTAAACAACATCTAGCATGCTATGGTTTCGACAGCCTTCAGGACCCAAGGATTCCAGACACCCATGCCTGCTATCATTGCTTACTGGAGCCGACCGAGAAAGAACTTTTGCGAGAAATGAATACTTTAGTGCTTTTACGGAATGCTCTGAATATCATCAGGAGGGACGGATATCCAAGCCCCAATAGCGTTTTTGGGGAAAAGCTGCGTAAGTCAAACCATCCTTTGCTATCTGGGTGGTATGCTCACCAGCGTGAAGATTGTAGTGGTCAGACAATCGTGCAGATCACCGAGTTGCTGAAAAGAAAAGGTATTTTAAGGGCCACTCCTGGGTCTAAGAGTAAGGGATTTGCTGCCAAAGGTTTGCCGGGCTATATGATACCTGAGCATCCAGAGATTAGAGAGATGATTGACCAAGAGATTTTTCATCCGTTTGCAAAGATAGCTCACCATGCAAGGCTACCCTACCCACTGGCTTATATCAATGATGCTGACAAGAGCTGTCACAGTATACCAACGCACAAGACTCGACTTCGCGGCATGCAAAAGATTCGGATTCGTGGTTTGGTGTTGAGGACCATCCTGTATTTGGAACTTACGTCGAAAGAAGCCGTCGTCGCCTCTGGCCTTTGGATGAAGGATTATGTCGAACCACGCGTTTAGCTTCAACCATGTCAACCACATCGTCCGCTAAAGTCGAACGCCAAGGGTTTGTGGCCAGGTCCCAACCACAAACCCGAGGCCGAAAACGAAAACTGAGCAACGCTGCGCAACCACTTGATATCGGAGAGCAGGATGACGAACTGATGGATGAGTCCGGCGGTTGACGGGATTTCCGTAAATCTAAACGCGTACCTCAAACCCCCTGTCTACGGCGTGTTATTTGAACGAGTGTCTTGCCTCTCCAGCCTTTTTTATTTTTAACCTCTCCGATGCTCCTACTCCTCTTTCGAAGTAAAATGTGCTCTTCAAACTCCTCGCCTTTCTACAGAGTACAAATTTAGATACATCGTAGGCACTTGATCTACAAAATTAGCATTAATACAAGCTAAAGTCAACAAGGTCTCCAGGCCTAGTAAAATCGTTCTCCTTTCCGGATTGACCTGGAGAATGGCCTTTGTATCGCTGTTTGTGACATTACTCTTACACCTTGTCCTCTGGAAGGAAAACAGAGTACTCGGTAGCTTTCGGCTCCATGTCTTAAACATCCTGGTTATGGGAAAGTGAAAAGGCTGGGTTTCCGGTTGCCCCATTCCCAGGCTGGAATGCAACATCAAATTTCATTCGGGTTGTTTGTTATCATGTTTGTCCATTATTTGTTTCCATCTCATCCTTGAGCTCAAAGGCACCATGTCACAGTTCGCCAGGTCATCGTATCTGCCTCGTCACGCAGAGACTTTGGTCAGCTTCCTGGTGCTTTGGAGGTCAGCATTGGACAGATCCATGCACCGTCGCGGAAGAGCTCAGACAACTCGCGAACAGCGCCAGGATTGCCTGGTTAGCTGGACAGTGAATTATTTTTCCCCGGAATACTTTCACTTGTCTGGCGACGAGATCGAACGAGTGATCATTCACGTCCAAGTCACCGCCTGTCCTGCTTTGTGAGCTGGTCCGTCAGTGGGCGCTGCGGGCTCCCGATTGGCGATACGTGTCTCGACCGCGAAGGTCCATGACGTTTGCACCCAGATGCCAGGGTCGAAGACTAAACACATTGGCATCATTTCGCCTGGGATTGTGCATGAAAAAACACGCTCCGGGGAAATGGTCGATCCTGGCTTCGGGCCAAATAAAGATTGGGCAACAGACATGTCGAGCTCTGGTGACCTCGAGATTTTACAGTCTGGATGGAGCAAGAAAGACAATTCCCTGTTCCTATGTACCGAGTTACCAATTGGGTTTGATGGCCCTGTGAAGTCTGACATTGCCAGATCTCAAATGCGAATAACCCCAAATAACGACGACTGCATCCTGTGTCCCGCTTTTGTTCCATGGCTGCAGGGCTAGCTCGAAAAACAAAAAAGAAGTCATCGCTAAACGAAATCCGGTGGCGCTTTCGACACGACGGCTTCGTGTTGGGACGTTTCTCGCAGGGAGGCTGCTGAGCCCCGGCTTGACGACGACCACTAGCCGTGGCTTCACCGTCACCCTTCGAACCATCTGCGCCGTCCTGGCCCGCACCGACTTGCACTGTTCTTCCTGATACAAGGAATGATGAAGTTAGCCTTCAGCCTCTTTTTCTAAGCTTTGCAGATCAGTTGACACCGTGCCTGATCGGCGCCTATCGGCAATGATGTCCAACTTCCTAGATGTCATATCCTTCCCTTTCGATGCTTGGAAAAGTGGTGATTATTCTCCGAAATACGGTCCTCGACGTATTCTTCCCAGAAAGAAAAAAAAAAGGAATACTGAGACATGTACTGGGTATTTTTGTCGGTAAATTCCCGCCATCCATGCTTCCACCCCGTATCCTGCGCCATGCAGAGCTGATGCCGGCTCCCGCACGTGTTCGAGGGGAAACATATAAATAAAACGACCCAGCAAACTATGTGTTTTGTTTGATCCGCTTTGAGAAGGGTGACAGTACCCAGTGGTTGTTAAAGACAGCTGTTATCATGCAGTTAGGGATATACCTTCTAGTAGCAGCCACTGCTTTAGATCTTTCCGTCCTTGCTTATCCATCGCCAGAGAATCCGTGGACGAGGCCAGAACGGTTAGCGGCTAGAAACGTACCTGAACGCAGGAGTGGTAGTGGACTATCTAATTGTCAGTATGACAAAGAGAATGATATCAAGGCGCCATTGAAGAATATTTTCGGCGGATTGGAAGGTAGCGAAGTGGCTGCAGTTACGAGTTTCCTCCACGAACAGCCGGAACTCAACTTAACTGCTGCGAAGAAGGCGACAAGGCAAGCGGGCCCCTTTCCTTCATCACTGTTGTCTACTGGCTCTGCTAACATAAAGACGGCGTAGTTGGGACAATGTCATTGCCCTTGTCGAGCTACTACAGCCGAACAAGTCGGCCGCACTGCCTTACTTAAACGGCAATGGTAATGCTCCTGATCGTTATGCTAGGGCAGCCATACAATTTCAAGCGACCGACGAGCCTTATATTCAAGATTATATGGTTGGACCCCTGCCTATATCAAGTCGAACAACGCTGCAGCCGTTGAACTACTATTATAATAAAGGGGTTGGAAAACAGCGAGTTTATCACACGGATTTACAAGCCGAAATCAAATTTTACGCGCAGATTGGTGCCAGTGTGGCAGATATAACGCTCGATCTCTGGAATGGCGTAAGTCTTGGATGATATTGATGGAAGAAGGAAGAAACTAATTCCATAAATAGACATTCATGGGGCTAGCAAACGACTCGATATACCTTAAAGGTTTCGAGCCGCTCCGAATTAGCCACCGCTCTGCTGTTACTTGGGGCCAGTTTTGGGGCTTTCCAATCGGGAATCCTGACGACCGTGCAGCTGTCCTTCCGCTGGGGCTATATGTAAAAGTGGACATATACGGAAGAGATCCGTCAAAATGGTCTGTCCATGGGTGGTTCTACAACGGCATTTTCTATAGAAACACCAGGGCATTTCGCAAAGCTTATTTCTCCCCAGGATTTAAGAAGCTAGGCGCCAACGTCGATGGTCCTTGGGCTCAGTTGAATAGAGAGGGAGATCCGTTACCTATGGATACAGTTGCTGCTCCTCTGCAAGTTCAGCCTGAGGGACCACGATTTGGTGTTGACGTGAAGGAGAAGTACGTAGAGTGGAGTAAGTTAATCCGTTTCTTTGAGAAGCCCTTTGCCTGAATTGATTACTAACGTTGTGAACAGTGGATTTCTCATTTTATATCTCATTTAATAGAGATACCGGGATGAGGCTTTTTGACATTAAATTCAGAGGGGAACGGATTATATACGAACTTGGGCTCGAAGAAGCCCTCTCCCATTATGCGTCAAATGACCCAATGCAGTCTGGCGTCGCCTTCCTCGACACTTTAGAAGGTTTCGGCCGCGTTGCGTTTGAACTCGTCCAAGGCTATGATTGTCCGTCCCATGCGACATTTCTGAACACCTCCTTCTTCACCAACGAAGAGACTCGCACCCATTTGAATAGCATCTGTCTCTTTGAGATGGACACTGGTCATCCTCTTCAACGTTATGCATCTTCAAATGCTGTCAGCGTCACGAAAAGCATGGTTTTCACTGTTCGAAGTGTCAGCGCCGTGGGCAACTATGACTTTATATTTGATTATGAATTTTATCTCGACGGTTCGATCCACGTCACTGTTCGTCTCTCGGGCTATATCCAGGCTGCCTACTGGGCTCATAATAGCGACTACGGTTTTAAAATCCATGATAACCTTTCTGGCTCGATGCACGATCACGTTATCAATTACAAACTAGACATGGACGTCAATGGCACAGCTAACAGTTTGATGAAGACCACCGTCGTTCCCACAAAGGAAAGGTACTTCGTGCAATCATCACGTTTATTTTTAGACATATGCTGATGATATTGAAGGTATCCATGGTCTAATGGCGACTGGGTAAATACGATGAAACTACGAAAGTCCTTTGTCAACAATGAACGGCACTCGAAAATCAACTGGTCGCCAAATTCAGCAACAACGTATACTGTTGTCAATAAGGATGCGCTCAACAAATATGGCGAATATCGCGGCTATCGAATCTCCCCTGGTAGGTGTTAATCATTCAACCAGTTGCTGAGTGCGGACTGACGTCCCTGGCATCGATATAGTGACAAGTAGCACAACTTTTTTGACAGTGCAGGACTCGGCCAGCCTGAAAAAGAGTGGCGGCTGGGCGACTCACAATCTTTATGCGTTGAAACAGAAGGATACCGAGCTTCATAGCGCATCTCCTTATAACAATCTCGATACAGGAAACCCAGTTGTTAATTTTGACAAATATTTTGACGGAGAGTCATTGGATCAGGAAGACCTGGTTTTGTACGACCGCCCCCCCCAGATGATTGTAATTGAGGCGGTTTCCACTGACGCTTTTTTGCCGCCCTTCAAGGTACTTCAATTTGGGGATGCATCATGTCCCAGACACGAGTGACTTGCCGAATACGGTGACAACGGTAAGTGTAACTGCTTTCGATCGGGGTGACTAGAACGTACTAATATCTCTTGTGACTCTCAGAATGCCCGCTCTTCTATGGCCATTGTCCCCCAAAATTTCCATCTAGACAACCCATCCCGCGCCACCCGTCAACAGGTTCGTGTGACATTCGGAGGAGGCAAACTAGCGCAAGCCGAGAAATTCGGAAGCCGACACGCCACCTGCAATTTCGATATGGTGAGTTTGTGCATTCGCTCTTGGTCTTTGGGGTGCTTGTTGGGATCGCAACTAACGGTGCGGTCTAGAATAACGCGGCTCCCAATCTGGAAGCATACAAGGGCGACCTTGTGGTTCCCAAATATCCATTTTTGCCGAATAACGCAACTTTCGTGCCTGTATTGCCTGGCTCGTAGATGGAGAAGAAGCGCAGCAAGTGAATGTATATTACTTGGAAACTCCATGAGGTGGTTCAATAAGAATGCCGCTTTCCAACTTTTAAATATTGATACGTATGGATGAACATAATGAACGGGTTCACGGGTTTGAGGTGTATGATTGTAAGTAGCTAGAATCCCATACCAATGAGTAGAAATTCCATTTTTACACTACTTCTCTGCTTGTCACTTGATGTAAAGGGTGTCCATTTGGCAGGATCATGAGAGTTCTAAATTTTGAGCATCCTCCCGGTTAAGGGGGATACAGAAGGAAGCAGCAAGCCAAATCCGTCCAAAAGCTTCTGGGCTAGGCAAAGGTGCCATTTAAAGCGGTCAACCTGAGCAACTCTTTGTTTCATGGGGCGCATCTTGGTGAAACGTTGACTTGCATGACACTGAGCGTGAAGGAATGCACTCAGAGAATCGACAATGTCTGCTGCCTTGAGCCTGGTAGTCTATCCTTTCTTCCATGGCAATAAAAGCATAAACGTTGAACCCGGGATATTCCTCCTTACTACCCACGGTGTGAAGCTAACCGCCCAACGTCGGTACATCCTCTTTCGAAGGGATTTCGTTGGCCGGGCGGCCGAGGCAGGAAAAGGGGTGCTGGATGGTTTATGATCCATGTAACGTCATGAGTTCTGCTTGCATGGGGGAGGTGTGGCGGTGAAACCACAGGGTTCAACAAAGCTCTGGAGTCTGAGCCAGACTAGAACTCTGTGTTTCAGAAAGCTGTTTGACGATTCAAACCACCAGCAGAGAATCAAGATGCCTGTCGCGCGAGAGGTATATTTCCGTACTCTGTAATCCAGCATTATTGTTATGCCTTTTCTCCTGGGATTTTGCGAGACTGCGCTTCGAAAGAAAAGGGTGCCTGGGGTCTCCTCTCGAGGAGGGACAAAGGTATTGAACCCTTCGTAAGCCCATGGGTGATTGATCCTGTGCTTGTGTGTTAAAATCTCAAAGCCTGGGAGAAGTTCAGGGACAGACAAGGATGTTGATCAGGAGCAGGAATCTTGGTCCCTCCAGCCACTCCTGAGTTCGAGGAGGAAGCAAACCGCAATCTCTGTATGTCTGTGCTAGTCCTGACGATCATGGAATAGTCTGTGGGGAGGAGAGTGATGGGCGCCTTCAGCACTGTCAACCTCGCTGTCAAGCCTGAGTCATTCCGGAATCTCTGCTCAAGGAGGGACTTGGTTGCGAAGAGTAACTATCCTCGTCAGTATCACAAACAGATTAGCGATGATATTCCTTGAGGGCCATCATCCATGCCTTCACCGCGCCGCTCGCTTCTTCATGCACCCAACTCACTAATCGAAGCCAAGTCTTCCCAGGCGGAGAACCCTGGTGCGTGTTCGCCCGCATGTCAACGCCATTATTGGCCCGCCAGCCCTAGTGGGATCCCAGAGCTGTGATCAGCTGGGTTCATCCCGGTTCAGAAAGACGATGCAGTCTGCTCTTTTACTCTCTGGTCAAGAGGTGCCTCGCTCAGCATGATCTTGAGACTTGCGCGACGACGGTGTTGCTGCGGCTTCAGGAGGTTTGATGAACTGAACACGCTGCGCTAACTAATAATCAAGCAAGCCATCGATCGCAGCTAACAAACCTATTTCGAGGCTGCCCCAACCTTTTCTCCTTGCGGCGGCCCTCCCTTTTCGTCCCGTGTTCTTCTCGTTCTCAACTCCCGAGAACAACCTCCTCCTTGATACCCGCGTGGCAGCCGTGTTTGTTGTTCAATTTCCAGGCCGATCCACCGAAGCCCGCAGGATTCACGGTACAAAGCTAGCCACGATCCACGGTTGAGGGATTCTCGAAGAAAAAGGCGTGGCAAGGGTAGGCTGCATGTGGAGGCCGACACAGCAGCTCTTGCAGGTCTCCATGCGGCTTTATCTTGTCCCTGGTCCATTATCCAAAACACGCCTCTCTCTTGCATGCCATTGTTGCTTTCTAACTGGCGGGAGAGATTGCTTTGTGCTACCTAGAGTCACGAATTGCGATTACAGTTCCGGAGCTTTTCAATCGTTCTAGATGTGATCGGCATCGCATTCGAATCTCTGCTGTCTGGCGTCGAAGTATGTGCAATACCTGTCCGTCCGATTGACCTCAAAAAATGCCCATCATGCCTTCTATCCCACGACGGATCTCCAGCGTTTCGGGCAACGAGTCGAGCCGTCCTCGAGGGAGACGCAGGATATCCTCTCGCTTTGGCTTCGAATCCAAGATTCCCACCGTTGATGGCGAACGGCGGAGCGAATCGTCTCAGACAGGAAATAACAATAGAAGCAAGGAGACGTCGCCCTTCCCCCGTCCCGGAGAATTGGAATATTACTGTGAGGACAACAATGGCACCGGGATGAACGCCGCGGACTCAATTAAACCGCCCTCTCTGTTAGAGCACGAGCTGGGCCAGCGGGCGTCATCCCCACTGCTGGGTCAGACATACAAGCGAAACCATGCGGGATTATCTCCCTTTCATGCAATTCCTAAACCTCTGCGCCCATCCGAGTCTTCCTCCACGCTTCCGTCCGTCTATGATCCTCCCGGCTCCTTGCCGACCTCGTCACACAAAAAGTCCTCCGGTTCTTACAGCGATTTGAGTCTAGGGAATAATTTCCCGTCTGTTACGCAACCGGATCCCAATCAGGTAACGGGCCAGGACGGGAATTTTGTTCATAAAGACCGCCGCAAGTCATCAAGGCCGAAACGGAGACCACCCATGATTGACCTGTCAAAACTCTTTCCTAAGCCACGGGATGCTACCGTGCCGCTTCTTTCTCCTCACCGATTGACGGCTTCGCCATCTCCTGTTTCTTTGCATTCCGATGTATCCGCGACGAGACTATCTAAGCTTGATCGAATACATAGTGGAAATAAACTCACCAAAGTTCCGCGGGCAAAAGACGCCGTAGAGATGCACCTGAAGCAAAGAAAAGAAAGGCTGCTGCGGGAAGAACAGGAGCAGCGGTACAATTGGGAAAGACAACAGTTGTTGCAGGAACAACAGCAACGGCTGCAGGCTGAGCAGGTGCCAGGGCCAACCTCCTCGCAGCGGCGGAAGTACGACGGTTGGCGAGATCCCACCAAATACCGGAACTACGCAGGCCCTAATTGGTTTGACGGGCCAGCGGGACAAGTCAGCGACGATGAGCAAGATAGTGCATTAGGGGAGCACGAAGCACAAGATACTGTGCCTGCTATGCTGGCTGCTCTTCAAAAAGCGAGTCGTCCTAGACATAGCAGCTTTAGCTCGGGTGGCTGTTCCGTTTACCAATCCGGACTTTCGAGAAATTCAAGCCGGACAGTACGCGCCCCGTCGAATGGTTCAACGATAAAAAACTCGTCTAATGCGCAATGTCCAAGCTCAAGCCAACTCTACTATTCGTCTGCAAGGGCTGAGGGGAGTTCGACTGATCAGCATTTCAGTCGTCATGCCCCTTCTCCCATCTACCGGAAACCGAACCCCGAGGTTGGTGGCGCAATCCTGAAGAAAACGAGCAAACTGTCCTTGAACGTCACCAATCTGAACGAGGCAAGTATCCTGTGCTTGTCTTCGTCGGAAGAAGATGGCGAGGAAGAGGAGGACGAGGTTGACGCTGACGCTACATCGAACTACGTCAATCGCACTGTACTACGGGACAGCATTGCCTCTTTCGACGAAGGAGCCGAAATCTGTACTGCTCAAGCCGTCGAGACGCGAAGAAGACTATCGGTTAAAAAGCTTCCCGCGAATCATGCGAGCCAGCGTCGAGCTGCTCGTCCTGCCGTGCCGCCAAACCGAAACAGTTCCACTGCATCTAGCGTCCGATCTTATACCCTCAGTCGTAGCAACTCGCTAAATCGATCGGGCCATGTCGCAGGCGTTTCAGAGCCTCTTACTTCGCCCCCACCTCCTCCGCACACAACGCAGGCTCCGTCAAGTTCGCAAAATATCCTTGCGACTAATCGAAGGAGTCGGTTCATGGCTGTCACTCGGCAGGAGGAACATCTACTTGAGATCATTCGGCGCAACAAGGGCACCATCCCGCCCAGTTACCTTGTGGACACGGACTCTATCAGCTCTGAACCGGAGCTGCGGGCGCAACAGGCGCGTCGACCACCATCTACATGCAACTACGATGCTTCGTTTTTGAGACTAAGCCCAGGTGTCCCGCCCCGCGGGAAGATGCGGTTTCACGCCGACACCAGCGCATTCTCCGACGAAGCTTCGCTTGCTGTATCTGACCTTGGCGACTCAGCAACTGAACATTCGGGGATGTCGACTCGGACCAGCCTGGTCCATTCTGATGCTTTCCCCTCACCTTCCACGGGACTAGCATCGCCTCTAACGCCAACGTTGCCCATCCATCGTTTCCCTTCGATAAAATCCCACCGCTCGCAGTTCCGTTCGGCGGTAAGCCAGGAGAAAAAGCGACATTCGAGGACTCGTACAGACAGCAGCAGCGCTGTTGTGTTTGACGAAGAGAATGGTGCGAACGATACAGAGCACAGTGAGGACTTGCCGATCTGGGCCCTGGCTTGGGCGAACGGCGATGCGACAAATGTCGCTGTTGCGCATTGATGTGCATGTTTATTTTAGATCAAGGGATGCGCTTTGCTGGCAACGGACCCTGATAACCCCCCATATTAATACTTTATTTATGATCTTTCATTTTTTTTTTTCCAGACGCTGCTATTTGGTTCTCATTCACCCCAGTTTTCAGATATCTATTACCCGTTCATGAACATCATTCCATTTTCCTTTTGCTAAACTACATGATCACTTTGTCTGCATGGGCCATGACTTCTTTCTAACAATTCCACTTGATACTTCATGATATCTAGATAACACAGTGGGCATTTTGAGCCTTGTTATGACCAGGATCTGCATACAGAGTACATACTCGATACATAAGATTTATTTATTTATTTATTCATTGTGATGAAAGCAGTTTCATTGCGTAGAATCTCTCCCGAGAGTGTTCCCGGTGACTCGGTCAACGGCCCCTGAACGGCTGTCGTGCTCCGGGTCGAGATTTACGGCCAGCGCTGTTGAGTGACATCCAGACCCGGAGCATGCGTCCAAGTTGGCATGCAGGGAAAAAATTCACCGAAGCCTGTAGCAGGGAGGAAAACCCAGGCCTTGTCTGGCCGTCACCAGAACAAGATAAGCGGCTTTTCAAAACAAGCATTTTTCACAAGCAAAAATAAAAGATAAAAGCAGAAAAACATTCCAACAAATTCAAGCAGAACGAACAAGGCCCAGGGATCCCCAAATCCCCCCTTCAACTTTCAGGGCTGAGCTAAAGAGGCCGACCGGGTTAGAGTTTGGCGCGTTGGAAGCCAGCAAAAAGAAATTATTGACAATTAATCACACCGGTCAACGGCACACCACCAGGCCTGTTCTTTTTTTTTCCTTTGCAGTTGCGATTAATCTGTGCAACATTTCTTGGGCTCATGTTTGCTTCTGCTTACTTTCGCTCTTTTTAATTGACCATTTGGTGCTTTCTGGTCGCCTCCCTTACTCTCTGTTCCCCCCCGTCGACGAGTTGGGGCTTCTTTGGGTACCTGTTAACCTAATCGGCTGAAAACGACAAGGAAGCACAACTGATCAACGACATCGACGACGCAAGCTCACTGCAGAAGGGGGGATTATAACGCGAGCGGCAATAGGAATCCGTCGTTCCTAAGCCCATCGTGAGCTGTTCCTCCACCATGGGCAGGGATGTGCAGAGCCAGTCGGTGTGGAGGGGTGTGCCGGGCAAATATGTGTTTTTGGTTCTGGTATGGCAGATCCCATGGAATGGCCAGTGGATGTTGACTTGCTGATTGAAACTCTGGGTGGGCCTTTTGACTCTCTGCAGATGACAATTCAATGCTCTGCTCTTGTAGTGGTAAGAAAAACGGGATATATTCAAGCAGGCTGGGCCCTGGATAGAAAGGAATCTGCTAACCTGGGATATGGGGAATCAATCTAGTTACTTCATTATTCTCGAGTGATGCCTGTGGTGGGCGGCAAGCGCTATATCACCTCGACAGCGGTGTTTCTAAACGAAGTTTTCAAACTAGCGATCTGTCTCACAATAGCTTTATACGAAGTTTCGAAATCCATCCCTCCCTCGATGCCCGCAACCTCTTTGTTCGGATCGTTGACTGCCGCGATATTCACCGGCGATAGCTGGAAGCTCGCTTTACCTGCTGCGTTGTACACAGTCTCCAATTCTCTACAGTATATCGCGCTATCTAACCTGGAAGCCGCACAATTCCAAGTTACATACCAGCTGCAGCTGGTTCTAGCCGCCATCTTCGGAACGATATTGATGCGCAAGTCTTTATCGTATGGGAAATGGATGGCCTTGCTTCTGCTGGTCGTGGGAGTCGCGTTGGTGCAGATACCCCCGATAGATCCACATGAACTGGATCGTCGAACACATACCTACCTTCCTAGAAGGCTGTCAGACTTGCAACGGCTTGGGCTCACCACTGGGCCAGTGTTGAGAAAGCGGTCCGCTACATATGAAGGCATTCAAGACGATATGCTCCAGGGACACCCTCCTTTTAACGCTCGCACAGGTCTCCTCGCTACCTTGGGCGCATGTTTTGCCTCTGCGCTGGGCGGCGTGTCCTTTGAGAAAGTTCTGAAAGAGAGCACCTTTTCTACCTCGATGTGGATCCGAAATGTACAATTGGCCATATATTCCATTTTCCCAGCCCTGTTTATTGGAGTCATCTTCCTCGACGGCGAGCAGGTTGCTAAACAGGGCTTTTTTCACGGGTATAGCTGGATTGTATGGGCCGTTATCGGCGCTCAAGCAGTTGGGGGCATTGCAACTTCATTCTGTATCAACCATTCAGAGTTTGGCTTGATGCAGGCTGCAGGTGCGATAAGCATAATTCTTTGCTCGCTGGCGAGCCCTTTTTTCTTCGACTTCAAAGTATCTGCCTATGTGAGTTTCACTCGTCTTTCAGCTGCCATCTGGAGATTAAGCTCATGCGTTTCATTCGCAGTTCATCCTCGGTACATTCATAGTCCTGGTCGCGTGTTTTATTTATATTCCAGGTTCCTCCTCCTCTTCCAAACCCGAACTCCGCCCGCGTCCTCCCCCAATCCGAATCCAAAACTTCGAGAAAGCGAAAACCTCCCCAGACCCGAATGGATCGGAGCAGCCTCTGGTCACTCCATTGAATGACTTTTCCATCAAACTGCCAACCACGCCGCTAATTTCGGATGCATCAGCTCTTACTACTTCCCGTCCGACATCGCCTTCTGCTACTCGACACCATTCTAGAGTCCATTCCTCACGCGGGTATTTCGGTAGACAGCAGCCAGAGAATTGATTCTGCAATGAGCGCGTACTATGATCAGGTTGGATAACCACTGACTTCTATTTCAGCGTTCAACCGTTTCGGATATAGACGTGAGACAGTAATTAACGGGACAGCTCCGCTTCCACTGCTTCATTTGGGCTGGAAGTAGGGAGTTTTTTCCGATGAGTTGTCTGCAAATTTTGAATGACTACAAGATAATGTACAATCTATAATGGAGCTTGGGCTTTGAATTTTTTCTCCTTTCTTTTCCACAGTTTGCAATGCTCTGTTATCGGTTGCCGGGTTTGGTCCATTCATTTCAGAATTTCGGGGGCATTCATACAGCAATAAGGCTTCTGACTCTTCGCACTCATTGGTGACCATGCAGGAAGGAGTTTATGAGCAGCTAAATTTGCCGTTTAGTCTAATCCTGAGCAAAAGATCATTTCTTGCTATCACACACATTTTCTTTTCTGCTTCACTCTGGCATATATCAAGGTTGGCCTGCGACGATTCCCAAAAGGGGGGGTTGCCTAAAATGGACTCCCCTATCACGTGTGGAGGGGTCACCCTGCATCTGCGCGTTTCTTCCTGTTTTCGTCTTTCTTCTTCACTGAAAGCACTGGATCTCTCAGTTACTCTTCGAGGAGGGTCTCTTGGGGAGCAAGCTGTGCACCCTACGGCCTTCCGTATCTTTGGCCGCAGTGAGCCACTTATCATGTTTGCATTCTGAGGTACTTCTTCAGACGGCTACACCCGCTACCCGTTCGATCATGGATGGCGGCGCTGGAAAGGATGCGCGGCAGCTTCTCGGCACATTCAAGTATCCTGCGGCCAACCGGTCCAAGATCTCTTATGGTCAGAGAAGGGTTGGCTCGCAAGCAAAGGGAGCCTCCCAGCCCGAATGGCGTTCACAAAGGAGTCGGTTCAATGATCTTAAAGATAGCACGGTTCAAATGCCAGCGGATGAGGATGATCTGCCTCTTGATGCATTTGGTGAGCTATGACTTATGATGCGGCCTGCTGATATTGCTTTGGCTGACTGAGGATTTGACAAGATCGGGAACTGCTGGCCGAACTAGAGGAGCAGCAGCCACCTCCGGAGAACGGTGGTTATCACCATACCCTTCTAAAACAGAATAATACACCTGGGCCAAAGAGTTCTGGGTTGTTTTGCAGTTGTATGTGCTCCGTTGCGTGGACGTTCCCGGATAGGGTTGCTAATTTGCTCTGATAGCGGCTACAACTCCCAGTTGCCCATCCCGTGGGTTGGCTTCGAGCTCCCCCGGAATGAGGTTTCAAGTTGAGAGCCCCTTAACCGGCGTACAGCATCGAAGGAGAGCGGGACCCGTCACCCGATCAAGCTACCGCGAAGTTACGAGCCCCCATTGGCAATCCAGCACGACGCTCTTGTCGCCTCATGCTCCTGGTCTGCCTGGTGGCTTAGGTTCAGACATTGAACCTTCCGAAATACAACTTGGTCATGCTCCCCCAGTGATACAAGGGATCCCGCTTGTACCCACCCATGATCTACCAGATCGTTTTCGATCTATATTTTCCTTTTCTGTTTTCAACGCCATCCAATCGAAATGCTTCGGTCCGATTTACCAAAAGGATGATAATTTTGTGCTCTCTGCACCCACTGGGAGTGGAAAGACAGTGGTGATGGAGCTTGCTATCTGTAGACTACTCGCAACCATCAAGGATAGCAGGTTTAAGGTGGTTTATCAAGCACCCACCAAGTCTCTCTGCTCAGAACGGTTTCGTGACTGGCGAGCAAAATTTGCTGCCCTTGATCTTCAGTGTGCCGAACTCACCGGTGATACTGATCAAACTCAGCTTAGGAGCGTTCAACATGCGAGTATAATCATCACTACTCCTGAGAAGTGGGACAGTATGACAAGAAAGTGGAAGGACCATGTACGTCTTATGCAACTCATCAAGTTGTTTCTCATCGACGAGGTCCACATTTTGAAAGAGACTCGTGGAGCAACTCTGGAAGCCGTAGTCTCAAGGATGAAGTCGGTGAATTCGAATGTTAGATTTGTTGCCCTGAGCGCCACAGTTCCTAACTCGGAGGATATTGCAACATGGTTAGGGAAAGATCCTACTAACCAGCATCTGCCCGCTCACCGTGAACGATTTGGGGAAGAGTTCCGCCCTGTCAAACTCCAGAAATTTGTTTACGGATATCACTCCATCGGCAATGATTTTGCTTTCGATAAAGTGTGTGACTCAAAGTAAGTTAGTGAACTCAGAAATAATCGCTGAAGACTAAATGTTTCCAGGCTGCCTGAAGTTATCTCAAAGCATTCACAGAGAAAACCCATAATGATTTTCTGTTGTACTCGTAATTCCGCAATCACGACCTCAAAGAATCTAGCAAAGTTGTGGATGGCAGCGAATCCTCCGCACCGCTTGTGGAATAGCCCAAAGAAATCTATTGTTGTTCAAAATCAGGACCTGCAAGGTGTGTTACCATCCTCGATACATTCTAAAGCGAAGTCCTAACGAAATTACTAGCCACCGTTTCTGCAGGTGTTGCTTTTCACCATGCCGGATTAGATGCCAGTGACAGGCATGCTGTCGAATCTGGCTACCTGGAAGGGCACATAAGCGTAATTTGTTGCACTTCTACCCTAGCAGTTGGAGTAAACCTTCCTTGCCATTTGGTCATTATAAAAAATACTGTCTCATGGCAGGATAATTGCTGCAAAGAATATGCCGACTTGGAGATGATGCAAATGTTAGGCCGAGCCGGGCGGCCACAATTTGATAACAGTGCTACTGCTGTGATCTTGACAAGAAAGGAGAGAGTTAGCTACTACCAGAAGCTGGTGACTGGGTCAGAGCCTTTGGAAAGCTGCTTACATCTCAACCTGGTAGATCATTTGAATGCTGAGATCGGCCTAGGAACCGTGACGGACCTCGAATCCGCAACTCGATGGCTTTCCGGGACATTCTTTTTCACTCGTTTGCAAAAGAACCCAACATATTATAAGCTTAAGGAAGGGTGCGATAGGACTGACGAGGAGGAGCTGATGAGGCAGATTTGTGATAAAGACATCAAACTTCTGCAAGAATGTATTCTTGTCACGCCTCAGTTTCCACTGAGATCCACCGAATTCGGAGACGCAATGGCTCGGTATTATGTGAAGTTCGAGACCATGAAATTGTTTCTAGCCTTGCCACCAAAGGCCAAAATGTCTGAGATTGTAAGTTATCCGGCTCTTATCAGTATACAGCCCTAATGACGAATAGTTATCCGCCATTGCCCAAGCAGATGAGTTTAGAGAGATCAGACTTAAACCTGGTGACAAGGCACTTTACAAAGAAATAAACAAGGGAAATGGAATAAAATTTCCCATCAAAGTTGACATTGGTCTTACATCACACAAGGTTTCGTTGCTCATCCAGTCAGAGCTGGGTGGTGTTGAGCTCCCAGCTGCAGAGCAGTATCAGAAACACAGGCTCGCGTTTCAACAGGACAAAGGTTTGGTATTTTCCCATGTTAATCGGTTGATTCGATGTATTATTGACTGCCAAATATCCCGTGGGGATTCGGTGAGTACCAGACACGCTCTTGAACTTGCGCGGAGCCTTGGTGCAAAGGTTTGGGATAACTCGCCGTTACAAATGAAACAAATAGACCAGATTGGTATTGTTGCTGTTAGGAAACTTGCAAACGCTGGCATCAATAGCATCGAGTCATTGGAGTCTGCCGAGCCTCATCGAATCGATACCATACTCAGCAAAAACCCCCCTTTTGGTATGAAGCTGTTAGGACGGCTTGCGGATTTTCCCAAGCCTAGGGTATCTGTAAAAATGATTGGGAAGGTAGCCTCAATCTTGAACTCCGACGGTTTTCGTGACTTTGCTAAAATTTAGATTCTAGGAGATACACCCCGGAAAATGGCCCGTTGTCCAGTTCAAAGTGGACATCGGATTTGTCAATGAGAAAGTGCCAACATTTTTCCACCGAAAGCCAGTTTACGTATGTTTTTTAGCAGAGACGTCCGACGGTCGAATTATTGATTTTCGACGGATCAGGTAAGGAAACATCGATCTTACCTTGCATTCAGAAGTTGATCGGATACAGTGCCAGCAAACTACAGAATGGACATGATGTTGCCCTCAAAGCTGAGATAACCCACATGTACCAACACATTACCTGCTATGCTATGTGCGATGAGATAGGTAAGCAGATAAATGATATGTTATTGCAATTCATAGCTGAGTGGTGGGCTGGGATAGCTGGAACACTCCGACAGGCAGAATTGAAACCGAAACTACCGGAGTCACTATTCTCGGGTTCTAGAGTCTCTACAGTGGATTCCATTACTCCCCTTAAAACTGAAATTAGTGCACGGCGCAGAAACGGTAAAGACTCGGACGAGTTTTCTGATGATTGTCTCGATGACGCTGATTTAATCGCCGTTGGTGAGTCTATTGCAAGTTTCAACTTCTGCTTGTATTTTTCTAATTCATGGTGACAGTGGACAATCTAAATGCTTCCGGCGGAAATCGTTCCATGACACAGCGCTCAAGTGCTTCAAAAATAATATCGAAGCTTCTGAGTGATCCCATTTCTTTCAGCGAATCTGAGGGCCCTACACAACTTGACAATGGAAAATGGGCGTGCAATCACAGGTGTAAGGATAAAACTGCGTAATGGCACCCTTCCGCTGGATTTTATGTAGGACGACGAACTAACCAGTAGCTAGATGTAAACACCTTTGCTGTCGAGAAGGGATTGATCGACCATCAAAGATTACCGGCAAGATAGGGGCCAAGCTCCATACAGGAAATGTGCCGAAGATTGATAAAGAATCGAAGAGTACCCGTTTATCCGCAAAGTCATCCAGAACAGATGATAGTAGAATCCCAGGACCAAAAAGGAACACCCACAATTCCCACGATATTAAAGTGGTTGACCTGACCAGTCCAGGTACTACCGTGAAGTCGACGCCGCGGTATAAGTATGTTAAAAAGAGGAATGAGAAAGATAACGAATCGCCCGAAAAGTCCGCATTTGTAGAACGACCAGCAACCAAGTCAAGTGGAGCAAAAGCGGTCGAGGCAAGCCACTTTGGGCACCTTGACTTTCTATATCCCCGTTGTGAGGAGATGGACGACGGCAATAACCGCTCCAGCGACTTTGGAGGCATTAATGTGGACGACCTCTTCCCTTCGGCAATGGATTTCGATGTTCAATCAAGCCAAAATGATGACAACTTCCCTATATATACTAGGCCAGTAAATGAATTCGACTACGATGACAATTTTAATAGACACACTGAAGATGTGATCGCTACCCACGAGTCACTGGAGAACGAACTGACGGATTACGAGCAGTACATCTCTTCCCCAGAAAACCAAAATCCCATTGCTGTTAGCCAACCGGAAAGCAGCTCAAAGTTCGAAAATGCGGACTCGCCACATGTTTCATTGGACGCAACTATTTTCTCTCCTACCGCCGTTGACCCTCTGCTTAACCAGGGTGTAAGCAGCGATTCTTCGTTTTTCCATACACCCCTTCCTTCGAGAACAATGAAGAGAATCCGTGAAAATGATAAAGAAAACGAGCCGTTTACGGGACCCGATCCCAAACAACCTCGGCTTCATATAAGTGGTTATTCGAGCACTGTTGGGGCCCTCGAAGGATGGGAAGGAATTGACATGGCGCTGTTTGAAGAGTTCAAGGATATTGTGGATTTCGTTTAACATAAAAAAAGTTGCTATTACATCTATCTCACTTAGTGTATGTCCCGAGTAATCTGGAGGTGATGTTGAGGGTACCGTTACCTTTGAGATGTAATTAGTCAAGAGTTATATAGACTTATAGACTCTGAATGGGTATAATATGAATTAGGATTGCTATTCTCACTGACAAGCCAAATTAGGTAGCTGTCCAGAACAAAACAGTATGCTACTGCCTTGGAATCAAATAATACCCTTCTCAGCATATCAGGTTAGGAAAATCCATTCCAAGCCATTCGATGGAAACCAGAGGAACAGAATCACTGGAGCACGTGAGTGTTCACGCTAAGTTCCTCATAACAAAGCACAAAAATGGGCGTAGCTTGAGAAACCATAAATGTCAATCTGATATTGCATTCACAGCGCGTTGCTCCGCAACTAAAGCAGGTTTCCCCGCTTAGCAAGCTCGCATCGCACAATACCAAACATCCTCAACCCTTCCGGAACTTCATTCCGGAACATCGTTTCTCTCCATTCTTCATTTCCTGTCATATCAGCAAGTGGCTGCACAAGCCGGATCTCAGGCTGTATCGCCTCTGATTAAGCAAACAGGATCTGGAGCACTTGGGTTTATTTGCGGGTTATTACACGCGTTTGAAGCTGGCTAGAAGGACTGAAAGGGCTCCATACAGCCGTCACATATGTAAGTGGTTGGCCTTCTATATCGATCCAGCTTCCTCCAAGTCAACCCTGGATTTGATATTCACAAATCATCGATTATTAACTCTTCCAGTATTGGTATATCAGCTTGATTCAAATTCCCAATATCGAAAGTCAAGATGGTAAAGCTCAGCTATTCAGGGGTAAGTTGACTAGAACCAGCAGGCACAATTGAGCGACTGCGAGCTTTTCTGACTGTTTGAATGTAGCGTAAGATCCAGGGGTTGAGATTGGGTCAGGTCGTCGCAAAAGATTTGGTATGTTCCTAGCAGACTAAGCCGAGTTCCGAGTAAGGCTAATACGGACTTAGAGAAAGCGAATCCCGCCTGGAAGCGGCGCCAGGGCTGCAGCACGGGATCCCAACGTCGAATTGGACCTAACTGGTAAATTAGTTGGAAATGATGGGCTTGCGGAGATAATCAATGCTCTTGTCGCCTGCATCAAATTCCGAGATGAGGCGCATCCGCAAGGAGTCATTAGGTTAACAGAATTGTCCCTGAAACGAAACGCCCTTACGGTAGCGGCAATGACCGAGCTTGCTGAAGTTGTGGCACTGAGCAACTCCAGTTTAGCACGGCTGGATATTTCTGAGAACGAAATCAGTGTCGTGGATAACGGCCAGAGAAATAAGTGGCGTACCTTTTTAAAATCATTTGAGGGATGTTATATGCTCAAATGTATCGATTTCAGTGGAAATCAACTAGGAAGTGCCGGCTTCGACGTTTTCGCTGGGATATATTTGAAGAGTGACTTGGATTTCGTCGTCTCAGCTCCACCTGAAAAGCAGAACGAGTATGGGTGTGAACGGGATATTGACAGTCAATTCAAGTCGATTTCTTTGAGCAAAAGTGACGACGACAATGGGCATTCGGTTGCAGTACGCGAAGTAAATAAACGTGGAGGTATGTTGAGTTTGTGCAGCTCGTTTGACAAATTGACTGACACATCGAAGTTGTTAGACCCAAGAATACGGAGTCATACGCAAGCACAAGGGGTCTCCGGTCGGTGCCATATTTGATCTTCACAAAGTCGGGGAATACATCTGCATGCGCATTTCATCTGTGGAGTGCATCCATGATTCACCTTGAGCCCGAAGAATTACTCGAGTTTCTGCCTCCGGGGAAATCGATGGTCTCATTTGAAGTTGCCCAAAGCGGCTGGGGCATAGTGTTTTCGCCCACGGAGTTCGGACCGCTGGGACGCAATTTATTTTCCCTAGGCGCCAAATTTTCTCAAGAGTTTTCGAAAGTCAGTGATGATCTCGATACGTTGAGTGCTGGAGACGATTTGGATCCCCACGAAGTCATCAAAACTCGGCAAAATTGTCAGTACATACAAAGATTGATGGAGCGCGCGAAATACCGGATCATCCTTGATATTCTTATGACTGAAGGCTTACGGGCCGTCGAGTTGTGGACTGTTGCATTTAGAACCATGGTTGTTGCTCGCGCTATCCTTCTGGATGACAAAGATAAGCCGCAAGCAGTCATAGAGAGTAACGAGTTTGAGCAATCCTGACCCAAGCGAATCCTCTGATCAAGCTTTGGACTTTTATTGCACTCAACCAGATACGGTTTGGACAAACTTTGCCGAGGAGTTTCCTAGTCTTCCTGGATCACTAGAGAAGACCAATGTGAAACCAGTGGAAAATCCAACAGCGCCTCAGTCTCCCTGGAGGAAGGGTAACCGCCGGTCGAGTTCCGAATCAAGCGATTTGCTCACTCGAACATCTAGCCGCGCAGATATGATCAAGCTATCGCCACAAACCATTACAAGGCCAGCCCCTGAAACGGTTTTCAAGGAGCTTGGCCCCTTTGGCTTGCCAATGCGCTTGTGGATACGAATCATCGTGGAGGCAATGGACGAAAACGAAGTCCTAAGTGCCTCGCAACAGTTGGGCGTTATCCGATATGCGTGTGACTGGGCTTCGGTCACTAAGGAGCTTAGCATGAACGGGGCAACAGTGCCAGAGCAGATCCGGAAGATCCTCAACTCAATGGACTGCCTTATGTACTCAAAATTCACGTAGGTTCAGGCAGATGGGCTTGTTTGTGGTGGTCCCCTAACGTTGGGTGTATGTAACAGTACTTAGGCACAAGTGTTTAGCTTCCAAAAGGCCAAGAATTGAAGAGAGACCTAAGATCACGCAGGGACAGTAGAGATCCATATCAGCCCTTAGGATAGAGGTTCGTTGCTGGCCGCGGGCCTGTGTATGCCTGCGAGTCTGCTTCGAGCTTGGTGGGAGAACAAGGGAGGAGGTTCGAATTGCCAAGAATAACCAGCATACCACGTGATAGACCCTTATCTGATCTTATCTTATCTGCTTGATCGCGAAGACTTGAGATACCGGCGTCCAGAGAACATCAGGCTACTGCTTATTTCCAACTTAAGTTCGTTATTAGATGAAGTGAACTGTATTTCTTCTGGTGCTGCCTCGCAATGTTCAGGAATAGGAGTGATGGCTCGGCAAAAAGCATTCCTCCACCGCTAAACCTGCAAGAAGACAGCACCTCGCCTTCGACATTCAATGACGGGCTTCCGCTCCCGAAACTATTCGTATTCGACCTGGATTACACGTTGTGGCCATTCTGGGTTGATACGCACGTCAGCCCTCCGATCAAGGCGCGCGATAATAACTCGCGTTGCGTAGACAGGTAACTACCCGCGCGGCCCGATCAGTCATTTCAGCATCCATCCAAGCTCAGGCTGACCAACATGTTTTTGCAGATGGGGTGAATCGTTTGCGTTCTATCCAGCTGTATCAGCGATTATTCACGCGCTACGATCCCGTTCCATCCCCATCGGAGTGGCCTCTCGAACGCATGCTCCTGATCTTGCGCGCGACATGCTCAAGGCCCTTCATATCATACCGTCTTTCTCCGACAACCCCGCGGCTGTTAATAGTCGCTCCGTCCGCGCGCTGGATTATTTCGATTACCTTCAGATATTCCCTGGTTCGAAAACGCAACATTTTTCTCGAATCCAGCAGGCGAGTGGAATACAGTACGAAGACATGTTGTTCTTTGACGACGAAGCTCGAAATGGCAATGTCCAGACCGAGTTGGGTGTAACGTTCTGTTTGGTAAGGGACGGTATGACCAAAGAAGAAGTTGATAGAGGTGTTTGGGAATGGAGAAGACGAGCCGGCATATCTCCCGAGAGCCAAGTAGAGGGGGGACAGGCGCAAAACTAGACAGAGATATAACTGTTCAGAGTAATGATGGACATATTCTTCTTCAATGACAACAAGATACCCTACTATGGACTAATATATTTCGATTTGTTGATATGTCATTTGAGGATGCTGTACTCTGTAGTTAATGAAGAATTCGGCGTGGTGCTGCTTATATTTTAGGGGCCGACCCCTGAACCTTGCGGCTAGTTTAAGCTTGGCGCATCATGAACCAATGCCGCCGTTTCGCCCGTTGATTAAATATAAATCAACAATCAACCACCATGTCCGCCAGCCAAAAGCCAACAGGCGCGCGTTCTTCTTCCAACGCGGCCACCAGAACGGGGCCGCCAGCAAATCCACCACACCACAGACCTCCTCTCTCGGTCCATCCAACCGCGACAATCTCAGAAACCGCTTACTTTCAAGGCAAACATCCCATAAGCATCGGCGCTGGCACCGTCATCCACCCCCGAGCAAAGCTACTGTCCTATGAAGGCCCCATAAGTGTTGGAGAAGGGTGCATTATCGGGGAGAAGTCAGTAATCGGAGGCCCCCAGGCTGCGCCATCGGCATCGGAACCTCCGTCGACAAATGAAACAAGGTCGTCAGGGTCGGCAGTCACCATTATAGAGAACTCGGTTCTTGTAGGACCCCTCGCCACCATTCATTCGGGCTCTCATATACACTCCTTTGCGGCTATAGACGCTTCCTCCTTTCTAGGACGACGTGTTCGCATCGGAAGGCACGCGAAAGTCTGCTCACTTTGCCGCATACCCGAGGACGGAGCGGTAGAAGACTGGATTGTAGTTTGGGGTGGAGGCGCGGGCGGTATGGGATTACAAAGACGGAAACGAGCAAATGGAAGAGGCAATGAAGGGAATGTCGCAGGCTTGAACGGCAGGTCTGTCGAGAATGCGCGGTTGGTTGTATTGAGTAAAGAGAGGGAGACTCTCACCAAACTAATCGGAATTGGGGCCGCTGCTGCCACGCAAAGGAGAAGATGAAGCATGTACTCCGTATGATTGTCATCCTGCAACCGTGTGCCATGTGTGCGTTGAAATTGGCATGCTTCCGTTCAATGATACCACTGGAGTTAACACGATGCGGCGTTTCACTTGCTTTAATGTCGGCGCAATTTCTAAATACGTGTTGTTTCCCACCTTATGGATGGATGGCTTATCGAACGGAGACTACGAAAAAAAGCTGGTGTCGTATCGTTCTCGCCTACAAGCCCGTCCCTGTTTACTTTTCAGCCGTTTGGGCTCGACGAATCTTTATTACCGTAGTGAATCGACGAGGATTCTGTCTTCTAGGAATATAAGACCTGATGTACTTCATTTTGGCCCCTTTGGCTATAAAACACATCACTAGAGAATCGATTTTTGTGCCTTATAATGAATACCGA